TATCTATAATAAAAATTTTTGAGAAGAATAAATTATTCTGCATGAGTAGTAATCGCACTGATTTTTCACTATATCGTCACTCTCTACGTATAATCTTGTAACTCCAAAACGCAAATTTTAGAGGAGAGCAGTTTAAAAGAGTTTAAAGGTTCATATAGTTTCCCTAGTTAAGGGATCTTTCGGTTTTAAATTTTTACTTCATGAATATTTTTTTTAATATTTGGTGATCATAAAGAACATGACTTTTTAAGCGTCACCATGCAATAAACTGAAAATCCGGTATGTGACACTTATGTAATTATACGTAGGGAGTGACGATTCTCTTTTGATGAAATTTCCATTTATTTGTATATTGTAATATTTCTTTTATATATGTGCTTTTTTTATTTTTTTTAAATATATTTTTTTATATTTTTTAAAATATATATATTTATCTGTATTTTCTACATCTCTACTTTCATATTTCTATATCAATTTCTCTTAAAGAACCGATATAGAATATTTTTTGGAGTCTTTTATTCTTTTGTACTTCTATATCAATTTCTCTTAAAGTACTGATATAGAATCTTTTTTTTAAGACTTATATTTTTTATATATTTTTTTTACATCCAGTTTTATATTTCTATATCAATTTCTCTTAAAGAACCGATATAGAATCTTTTTTCGGAGACTCATGTTCTCTTTATATCTATTCTCTTCTTTATACTTATTCTTTTCTATTTTATCTTTGCAAAAATATATATTTGAATATATATTTGAAATATATAAATATTTAAATATATATTTTTACTTTTTTCACATATTCTATCTCATCTATAAATACATGATAGGCTTTATCGGATGGGTACATACTTTCTTTAAATCAAATAAAATATAAAAACTCGGTCGCGAAAATAAAATAAATTTAAAATAATACTTTTTAATTTTAAAACAACTGTCCCTTGCGTAAAATATTTGATAGATTTTAAAACTTTCTAAAGTAAGTAAGTAAATAGGTATCTGTGTAGGTAGGGATGCGTATCTACAAGCGCTTGTAGAAAATATATTAGGCCGGGTAGGTAGGAAATATGTTAGGAAATATATTAGACCGATATACCGGATAAGTAGGGAGAAATCAAAATGTCAAATTAGGATCAAGGTTGTTATGCAGCCTTAATCTTAATTAATAAGGCTAGTAACGTTTAAGATAGATGTCTAAGATAGGTATAGGTAGGTAGGTAGGATTATATATAACTATTTATATTATATTATATGATATTGTATGTTATATGTAATAAATGTGTAATAGAATTGTATTCTATTGTAATGTATAAAAAAATTGTAAAATGAAACTTGGAAATAGAAAACACACTGATAAAGAGTTTTAAATAAAAAAGCAGAAGCTATATTTCTTGGAATTGCAACTTTTCAGACATTATATTTGTGTACCGTTAAAACACCTTTGTATAATATATATGGTTTTTTGTGTATTTTGTATATATGTAGTATTTTTAAGAAAATAAAATAAAATTTATAAAGCACAGAGCAGCAAATGATGATGTAAAAGGAGATGATATTTGACTACACTCCACGAATTCTGATGTTGCTCGCTAAAATAAGATTCTTTTCTTGACTATCACATATTTTCTGGTATGTCACATTTATGTTGTACGAAAAGTTGCAATGGTTTTTCTTATCCTTTTCTGTTTTCCTTTCTCATCTTCTCATCACGAGATCGTTCATTTTAAATTTCAAAAAAAATCAAATTCACGCTCTCGAATATACTCACACACTTAAAGAAAGTTGACCATTTAAACTCGTGCACATAGCACAGAATAAAACCGCACGCTGTGGACATAGCGTACCGACATGTCGCTCGTGGACTGGCTGCGTAGTTCCAATGTGTTGTACCACTCGTGGACATGCGCTAGTTTACGAGGCGGAAAAGTGATTACACATTTCTCTATAGGCCTTGGCCGCTGTCTCTCTTCTCTCTGCTTCAAACAATTTAAAGCAATTGCAGTATTAAATACAAATTTGAGATTTGAGACAACTTGAGTTTACTCTTATATTATCTTCATATCGTACAGTAGCAATCGGCATATTGAATAACCATATGGCGTACGTGGAGTTTTATTAAGTTTTTAAGATAAAAAATAAAGAGATAAAGAAGCTTGCACATGTCTGATGAAACCATATGTTTTGTCGGTTTGACAACTGATAAAGTGTACTGTGTTGCAGGTCCAAAGTTACTTTCAGAATAACTCTTACGTCTGATCCCAGTCTGCCATACAAAGTGTAAGTGGCCGTTTAAAAAATACATTCTCTTAAGTGATACGACAGAATGCAAGCTGTAAGCTCGGAAATTTTCAAAACCATCGATGTGTTTTTCACGTTGCTCCAAACACCAATTGTCGGTGAAGAGATAACAGTGGAAAATATAACGCAAGCTTTCAAATGTGCTCATTTTATCGAAGCTACTATTGAAAAAGTTCGAGCTGAAGATAAAACGTTGAGTTTTGAAAAGTATTTGCGTAAGAAGTTGGAGCGAAAATTATTTCCACAGAATGAGGAAATTACATGTTCCGATTTGGAAAAAGCCTGTGACAGATTATTAGAACATTATGTGAAAGATACGCGTATTCCCACAAAGATAGTTGACGAATATTTAAAACTGTACACCCAACATTTCAGTCAGGACAGATTAAGTATTTTTCTGAAAGAAATTATGAGCACATCCATTGCCACAAACATGATCATAGAATCCTTGACAGAATTAGAAGTGCCATTGTCTCACATGGAAGATGAAGCATTGATTATGTCATGGCAAATAGCAATAGCTAATGGAGATCAAAATGATGTTGTGGAATGCATAAACAAGATGTTACATGATGGTCATGTTTCAAAATTGATACATCTAACAAATGAATCAAACAATGATACAATTAAAAAATTAGTCGCAGAGATTTTCACGGCAAAACTGGTCAATTACGATCCCGAAATATGCGTGACATTTGCGAATACTGAAAGAAAATTACTTTTGATTTTACTCCGAGACAATAACGATTTTTGTATGGATTTTATCGATGCAATATTCTATTTTGCGCGAAATATGTACATTAAAGATGGAAAGTGGCATTCAGATTTTAAATTTAACTATGAACATCTCTGCAAGCTAATAAAGACTTTGTTGAATGGTCCTCGTGTAATTCGCGAACGTATTTACAATCGAATGTCTGCTGTAAAAACTCAACCAGATAGTGACATATGGAACGATATTGAAGCTGATATTTCGAACTAATAGTAATTTTTCTAGAATTGATGTTTTAATCTCACAAATTTTACATTTTATAAAATACTTAATGACTTGTATAAAAATAAATTATTTTTACCGCAACAATTGCTGTTTTTAACAATATAATTACCACTCAACCCTGTGTTAAAATATTACAATTATGTAATTATTTATGTATAATGCAAAAATATTTTTGCATAAAAAAATATTTTTCTTTACATTATATATTGTCAGCACGTTTTTGCATGATAATGAAAATACATTTCAATGATTGTTATTTCAATTGCAGACTTAGTGTACCGGAAAATACTCCATTTACTGCTGTGTTAAAATTTGCTGCTGAAGAATTTAGAGTACCACCAGCTACATCAGCAATAATTACAGACGATGGCATAGGAATTAATCCTCAACAAACTGCGGGTAAATCTTTACGTAACAATGATTTTTTGCCTATAAACTCTATACAACCAAATTATACAATTTGAACTTTCAGGAAATGTGTTTCTTAAACATGGCTCGGATCTTAGGTTGATTCCTAGAGATCGCGTTGGATATATTAGATGATTTAAGTAATATTGTTTAATAGATATTGTATATCTTTATATATATATATAACATGAATCACGAAACAATTACTTAAATATTATAAAAATGCATAAAATCTATACACAGTTATAAAAACATTTATATTTATTCACAATAAAAACATTCCTATATGCTTTTTGAAACAAATAAAATGCTTAAAAAACGTAAAATTTACTTTATCTGATAAAATACACATGTTAAATAAACGTTTTTATAAATCAAAACGTAATACTCTTATTGTGGGCAGAATTACATTTACAATACGAGAAACTTTGGGAAATGCGAATATTAAAATTAGACACTTTGAATTTTTTTTTAATAAAAAGATTTATAGCTCAAATACAATAATTGGTATAAGACTGATATAAAGATACATCATTATATGATAAAATCATTTTGACAACAATCGTTTACAAAGCACGAGATAAAGTGGCGAAAAATTTTCAAAGATTTGAACATTTTTTGTTATAAATCTTGATCTCTCAAATCTTACGTATTGCAAGAGATTGCGTTTCATTACACCTCTGTCACGAATGAATAGAGAGTTTGCTTTAAAACTGCAAAAGTATAAATCTTGATCATACTTGTGTGCTTATATAATATAATGTGACACACAAACATTAGAATTAAAAATTATTTCAAAGTACGCAATACTGTTGAATTTCTCTTTCTTCTATTTTCTATTTATTTTTATTTTTTTTTTATGGACGACAGAAATATAACATATATGCTAAAATTTCATCAAGTTTTGTCTTAGTCTCATTTTTACCATTGACACGTATAGAAAATTCGTTAATACTTTCGAATGCTTTTCTGAAACATCTTACAGGTCTAAACGTGTGCGGAATACAAAAATTACCATTATTAATTTACTTTTGGCACTACATTATAATTTTCGAATATATTCGTATGCCGCCGATATGAAAAGTTACACAATTGTCAGATATAATATTACAAAGAAACAATGTGAGGTGTGACTGCTTATTTATGATATAAAAGTTTAGTTTTCTTTTTCATAAAAAGATAGTTTATAGGAGGATTAGTTTTTGCATACTAACACGCGTGAAAGAAGTGAAACATTCTAATGGTATATATTCGATATTCTGGTAAGAAGAGTATAAAAAATCATCAGTCGTTTTCTCCATGTTATAATAATTGTTTGAATGTGTTTGCAGAGTGCTTAACATATGTATATATTTAATGCTTTCCCTTATGCATTTTATTTATCTTGTATACTATCTTTTATTAATGTGCATACACGGATACGAAATGTCGTAAAAAAATCTCTGTTTCATAATTCTGCGACGAAACTGTCACTTGCTCTATATTTTATCACACATATATGATGATAGATTATATTATGTCGTATACTGAGACTATTATTGACATTGAGCATTACCGAAACGAAAACATATCTGGCACTCGAGAGCGTGTGGCAGTTCATCAAGTAAAGAAGAACGTCTTAATTTCATCGAAGAATTATTACATTTAAGAAATTACATCTAACAATAAGTGATATAATACTGTCTCGTCGTTTTTGTTAGCGAGAGAAAGTGTTAGATCCGTTTGCTTTATAAATGGCACGTATTTCGAGTAAAGTTTTCATTTACGTAAGGAATTCGTTTTTAATGCACAACAATCAATTATAGCAAATAATCAAATACTTGTCAATAATTGTCTCTGACACAATTGATATCGTTCACACTCGGTACTGGAAAGCGTAATGAATATACTAGCATACTTCTTCTAAGAATTACTTATCCGTTGAATCTTCAAACTGATATTCATTAAATAGATTAGATGAAACTCTATTGTCAAATCGCACTATAAGTTTTTCAATTCTCCTGACAGTAATTAAGCATATCTTATATATCTATAATATGATTTCTACAGCAGTAATAATATACCATAGAATTATTTGTAGCTAGAAATGTATGAAAAATTAGCAATTAAAAGAAAACTGATTCCCGACTAGAGCTATAATCACGCATTTGGTTTTATAAGAACAGCGTTACATCAACACTGCGTTACATATTGCATTGATTACATTGCCAAGATAAAAACTCCCTCTTTTGTGACATTCATTCATTTTTTTTTCTTCTTTTTTTTTTTAGAAATTAATTAATTAATGTAATTTAACAAGGCCTGATTTCTCTTATTTCTATGCGGTGAAAAATGTGTTTACAAAATCTTAAGCTAGATTTACGAAAAAATGAGTATTACTGTTGTAAATTGATACAAAACACTGTACTTATCGCTCGTCTTCTCTTCGAAAGAAAATCGTTGGAAGTACATCTCTCTTTCTCTCTCTGTCTTTTTCTCGGATACAATTGCCTCTCTTTCTGTACACAGTAACACTGCGATGTTCTTTGATATATAACTCTAACTTATAAATAATTTACGGCTCGAACAACTACATGGGTTGAGTTTTGCCATATCAGGTTGCATCTGTCTCCGCAGGTCTTCAAGTTTCACTCGTCCTAAAGAACAACGCACGTATGTTAAATAATTTTCCTTTTCTTTGTCTTTCTTTGTGAGCATATTTTATATAAATTTCTTTTACATATGCATTCATAATATGTGCCACTAAAAGTACAGAAAAAAGGGAATACAAGCTACTAACTACTTGGATAAACACAAATAAGACCTACCCATTCGTGCTCCTCTACACCTTCCATATGATCTTGTTCCAGTGAACACTGGATGACATCTCCCACAAAATGGCTCATAGTTTTCTGGATCTGACTCACACATATCACACAATACGCTCAGTTATGATATCACATAAAAGCAAGACTCTTTTCTTTTCTTCTTTGCTTTTCTCTCACATCCACAATATTTATATAGGAAGTTTTATTAAAGAAAATAGTTTTTTTTCTCCGACAATTTTTAAAGCAATTTTGAATATTTCTTCTGACATACATGGCATTTTGTACAATTAAATGATAAAGCAAGGAACAATTTTGTGATTCAAGCTTGTCATACTTAATTGCAAGTCATACCACTACTACACATTGACGTGAAAATTTACATGCATTTTTCCGATCATGATTTTATGAGTGAAATTTGTTTTGCTGATTTTGTTTTACGGCAACGTTTTTAATCAATATTCAATTACATGCAAACATATGTAAATTCAGTGACGTCTTACCTCTTCTTGTTTCGCTTTAACATCCGGGTTCCAACCTAATCTACTGAAAGGTTGTGCAGTGATGCCAAAAGGAGTTGTTGAAGGTTTGCTTGCAATTTGAGGAGGCGTAACTACATTTTGTGATTGATTCTCAGTTACTGTGGATATAAAAATTCACGTGTTAATTAATTACATCTTTCGATTTTAAGAACATATAAAATAGTATTTTCTACTTACAATTGTCCATACCAGGCGGTTTCAGACTTATTCTAGATGGCTGTTTATTGATACCGTTAAACCATTCGGCTGCGGACAAAGTTGGTTTCCAAATAACTTTGGTTGGAGGGAAAAGATCATCTTGGAATAATTCACTCTAATTGAAACAAGTACATACGTTAGGAGTTTTATCAGTGATTTCTAGTTTTTTAAAATTTTTTTTTTATCTATTATTGTATAGTACGTACCTTTATGCGCGGTACAGTAAAGCTTAAAGGTTCTATTGTATTATTTGTTAATCTCAAGGCAGATGCAAACTCTACGCTAGCCACATCGCATTTATTTTTTGGAAGGAATGATAAGCCCTGGTGTAAACTGCTGCATCTATGGTGGCTCAGTGGACAGCAATACGGAGGTTCCTCGGTTACTTCAAAAGCGTATATTGTAGAGTCACCCTAAAATTGATTTTTCGTAGTAAAAAGAAAGATTATAGCAAACTTCAAATGTAATTAAGATGATTTTTTTTAATTAAGAAAAACACTCTTACACGTCCAGTTAAGAAAAGCGTAGAACTGTCTTCGTCATAATATGGCATTAATATGGCAGGTGAGACGTCTAATCCAACAGTGTTCAAAGGAGTATTTAGATTATCCATCTTAAATACGTAGATCTGTCTTTCAGAAACTCTGAAACACAAGATTTCAATATAATTTCCTTTCGCAGTTTATTATATCGTACGAAACGAAACGTGATTTATCGCGCTTACTTGTCAAAGCCCATTACAACAAGATATTTGCCTTCGAGCGCCCATACAACTCTCGCCCCTCTCGTGCCAACGGGACCTTTTCCCTCTTTCACGGGACTGTCGCTCGATCGAGGCTTGTAGATACGTAATTTGACATCTTTGCACGCGCTGGCAAGATACTGACCGCACGGCGACCACGCTAAACTAAATATCTGATCCGTATGACCGGTCAGTGTGATTTTCGCAATTGCTGTTTCGGTAGATGACAAGAGCGACAAATCCCAAATCTTGACGGTCGTATCGTAAGAAGCGGACGCGAGCACGTTTGAAGCCAGCGGATGAAATTTAATCAAGTAGATCTTATCAGTATGAGCTTCTATGACGTGTTTCGGCTCGTTTGTCGGTTTTGCCAAGCCAGATTCTGGTATTTCCCACAATCGAATTATTCCATCGTCGCAAGCTAATACAAAGAGAGAAAAGATTTTTATATATTTCTTCAAATTGTAATAAATATTTTTTATTACAATGTTGTACAACTTCTCTAATAAACAAACTCACCAACTGCCAATCTTTGATTATCAAAGGGGTCCCATTGAAAGTCCATTACGGTTGCGCCGTGAACCAATGCTGGCATTACCCCATCCGGTAGTCTTCCGGTTTTCTTCAACTCCAATACTGCTATCTTTCCACCTGGACCACTCAAAGGTACAGCTACTCGATCAGGATTAGCTGCAAATTCAAAAGAAACAGAGATATGTACTCATTATGCTTGAATTTTTTTTACTGCACACATTATTCGAGGACAAAATTATTATTTACCGTGAAAGCCATCGCACTCGCCGGATATTTGACGACTGATATTACGTATATTTTCAATATGCGTAGATTTGTGTCCCGGTGTGCCTTTCAAATGCCGAAACTTGGACACTCTTCCGAAGACTGTCGATGTTCTTTTCGAAGCTGGTGTTGCAACTGGTTCTATCTTTTCCAATTTAGGATCCATGCTCTGCTGTCGTAACATGGGAACACTTTTTTTCGTCTCATCCTCTTTGATAACTTCGCTCTTCGCCTTGAAGGAATCTCTTCGTCTCAACATGGTTGGCGAGCCCATCGCTTTCTCCGCTAAATTCCCATCGGTAACAGATACAGATCGACTCTCGTAAAGACGCCGTCTTTCGGCTATCGAATTTCTGTTTGCGCCGCGTTCAAAATTACCAATGTCTTCATTTTCGGGCGACTCGTCTTTCATTTTCGTTTCAAACACTTTGCGTCTCTCCGCGGTGCTCGGTGTTTTCGGCTTATAACCAGAGTCGCTCGAATTAGCGTCTTCCTCTATGGAACTGGAATCGCTCTTGCCATTTTCCGTATCTTTCACGCGCTCGTTAGGCGTCAAAGTAGGCGACTTGTCCGCTTCCGTGTTATGCTCTACAACGTTATTAACTTCGTTCTGATGATGACAACCGTTGCTGGTGTTGTCACTATTCGGCGCAACAGGTACAGAGAAGACTTTATCGAACGAAAATTCCTGACTGGTGGACTTTGCTTGGAATGGTTTAGGACCGAGGCGGGGCTACAAATTGAAAAGAAAAAAAAAATATAAATATCTATTCGTCTTCCTCTACATATCCTAAGAATTATTCTCGCAGAGAAAATTACTGTGTTAGTAATGACATGACAATGATGATGTAAGTGTGATTTAAACAAAAATCGGCCACACACGCAAAAGTGTCACGCATTGTCACGAACATCAAATAATTCCTTATATAACATTAGAATGCTCTTTTTTTCTAAGCTGATTACAACCTTATATCCGCCAATCGCATTAGGATTTACTGATGTAACTACTGATCCGGGATTCGGCGATGTGCGAGGACGCGCCACTGGTTTCGGTTCCTCTTCGGAGATGCTGTTAGTTCGTGACGCTCTCGGTAAAGGTTTCGGTGGAACAGTTTGTCCTCCATTTTGCATCTTCGTCTTTTCTTCTTCCGTCTCGAGTTTTTTCGAGTCGTCCATTTTTTCGGCTTCGTTTTCGATATTGTCATCATTTTCGTTCGCGTTGCTCTGTGGTTTTGAGAATCCTTTCGGCGTGGTAATGACCAAGGCTTTTGATTGCCGAGAGTTCATTTGTTGTTGTTGTTGTTGTTGTTGAGTTTGTTGTTGTTCCATTTTAATTTCGCTTTGATTCTCTTTGAGCGCCGCTAAATTCCCTTTGTGTACCTGGAGGTACGGTAAAATCCTTAAATGACCGCGAACCGCAACGAATAAAACTACACTGTTCGATTTTGCACATTTGAAAATGCGTTTCTGCATTCGATGTGATATGTAAATTTAACGACAGCAATCAAATATATATCTACATTCACATAACTTTTACACACATACATACACATATAGCTTGCACTTGTCTCTTTGTACAAAAAGACGAAAAAATACAGAAGACGTAACTAAAGCTCCGATAAAGTTTCAAGTATTTCTTAATGAAAAATTTGCTTGTGTGTGAAATAGCCAATGTAATAGAAAAAGAAAACTCTATCTTTAAATAATTGATCCAAATGTTTTTTTACACTTCGTACTCTTTACTTACGCTGCAGAATAAGCTACAACATCAATTGCCACTTATATTACACGTGCCAGGAATAATAGTTTGAATGGTGCTAATGTATAAACTATAAAACATATATTGGATATCTGAAACGTGAAAAAAATATACACAGAATATGGAAAAAGAAATTAGATAGCGCAAAATAAAATATGCATGTATCAGTGTATGTAACAATAATTAAATATATATATATATATATATGTATAAAACTTTAATAAATGTTAACTTTTGTAAATTAAACATATATAGATCGCAAATAAAAATATTTTAATATGCTTAATTTATATTCTGCTCTTTTTTTATACATTTTTATATAAAACATACATATAATATCGTATCTCGGAAGAGAGAACACAATTAACTAAAAATTACACAGCACTTTATACAACCAATAAATAATACATTGCAGATACGTCTTACATAGAACTATTATTAGCGCGATATGAATGGCAATGCAAATAAAAAGTTGTGACGATGAAAAGCATGCGGTGATTGATGATTAAAAAACAAAAATAAAATCGTACAAATAATATTTACAAATATGACCAAACATTTGAATCTCTTTTTGATCCAAACTACCTTAAGTTCCACATTTAGAACAATATTAAAACAATCACAGCAGTTGTTAAAATGTTCACTCACAGTAATCGGCTCTTCGCCTTTGTTCCTTTTAGCAGGATCAAGCGATATTTTTGGTACAGGCGCATTATGACCTTTAATCCATGCCGCTGCGTTATTTTGAGCAACATAACCAGCTGTTTCTGGATAAATGTCCGCGTGAAAGTCTCTGTACGTCTGAAATGCAATGCTTGTTACGAAACTTTTAATTGTAACTTGCCATATTGCGCGATAATGATTCACGCAACTACTACCGCTTACTTTTCGTGGCACTTGATACATGATTGGAATCACTATATTGGAAGTGAGTTGTAACAGTCTGTTAACTTCGGCCTGCATAACATTGAGCGCTCGTTTGGGAACCAAGCAAACCCCTTTGGTCTGCTCGCCGCTGTGACGGATTCCCTCCACAAGATAAGGATCTTTATCTGTGACTTCCATGTACATAATAGTAGTGTCACCTTTTCCAGCAAGAAAGAGCATATTTGTGTCAGGATCGAAAAGTGGCATCAAAATACTACAAAAGATAAGATTTTATACATCAGCAGTGTGATTTTCAATGTAAATCATAATTCTTTGCAATGTAGAGAGATGAAAATCAAGAAACTTGTACTTACCCAGTGCTGCAGTCCAACTCTAGTGTTTTTACTGGGTCATTTAAATGCCTCAAGTCCCTAATGAAAACTTGACGAAGTCTTGCTGCGTCGAATCCTGTGGTGAGTATTCTATCACTGTTATTTAACCAAACTATTCTGGAATCTTTGATGCTTTGATGGCTTGAGCACGAGTTAACAATATAAGAGGACGCTCGAGGATCTATGATCCTCACTTGCTTGTCCTTGCAGGACGTTGCCAAAACAGTGCCATCTTGCTTCCAACTTAGAGATTGAATTACTTCTGTGTGATCACTGTTAGCTGCAACATCACACAAATGTTCACGAGTAACAGAAAATGTAAGGAAAAAACGATTGGTAAAGTTGTAAAATATATTTACAGAAAAGTTCCTGCTGAGAGAGAACATCCCAAAGGGACAGGTTGGTGAAAGATGTAGTGGTCAGAAGATGTTCGGCGGTTGGATGCCAACATACTGCTTCGACTCTTCGTTGGCGATGAGAGAATGTACATTCTGGATTGCACAAAGACTCTTCCAAACCAGTTTCTGGGATATGCCACAATTTTACCTAATTCGAATAATACACACGTACAAAAAAATCTAATTTTTGTTTTAAGTAAAGAGAGTATTAATATTTCTAAATAATAATTTTCTATTTACTGAGAATAAAGTTTTAAGATTCTTACAAGACAATCCTGAGAACCAGTTGCAAGTAAGCCATCGTGAAAAGGAGAAAAATCCATATCTGTCACAGTGTCTGCATGCGCATGAAGCAGTGGCATAGTCTTGCTCTTTCTACCACAATCTTCTAATGGCAATACTGCTAAACTGGAACCTTAACAGAGAACCAAAAATTTTATTGAAAAATAACAAATAAAACAAAGCCAAACAGAATGTAAATCTCTATTGTATAAGCAAATATACCATTATGATCAACATTGAATGCCATAAACGCTGCAGAGGCTGTTATGTTGTTCCCATAGGTTTGATATGAGCCCACAGAAATATCCCGAATACAAGCCTCTGGCTTAGGAACAATTGGTGCGGCATTTTTATATTTAGATGCTTTAAAACGCCAAGCCATTTTGATGTTGCTAACTCACTTTAAATCTCTCTACTCTGCTTAGATCATGTAATCTAAAGAAGATAAGATACAAGGTTATATCAAATAACATTTTGTAACAATATAACATATTGTGGACACAATTGTTGTTTTGCCTGGCATTATAATTAATCAAAATTATCAAACTTGATAACATTTGACACAAGCATATGTGAAAATTATTGATGACTCTATAGAGATCATATAAAGCACAAACTTTTTGGGAACAGAACAAAGACCAGAGTTTTCAAGAACTTTTGGAAAATGAAACTCTCGCGATTGTATTTGTCATTCAAGATTTCGCGCAGGTAATACAATCGCTCGGACAGAAATGCGAATATAATTTGCTGGGCGTTCCCGGCCTCGATAATGGCAGGTAGAAATCGACGCCGAAGTCTCTTGGGATCGCATCAACGGCGTTGGTTACAAGCGGGTAACACTGACGCGGTCGTTCGGCGTCGCCGAGCAAAGCCGTGCATGACTAATAATTCGGGGGTGAGAATCACCCTACCCTTCGGTTCGTCGTCGGGCTGTGGATCGCCGCTTCGGCTTTACCGCAATGACGCTGATCAGGGACGCGATTTTCGCGGCGAAACGTGACGCAAAGCGGAATACTCACGATTCGCAAATCGAGGCGCATTCACACACGCCAATTCAACGCGCTTTCGATGCAAATCTCGAGTGTGTTGCGGCGACAAACACGATAAACACAACGAAAAGACTGTGCGAAACCGAGTGTCGCTGCTCTACCAAGCTCCACGGGTTGTGACGGGTTGACAGCCGGAAACAGGAAAGTCTCCCTCTCCACCTTTCAACCCGAGACGCAGCGCACTTCTCCCTCTCCCGCGATGATATTGTTCAACGACACTTCACTGAATATCAGCGATTGTTTTAGCGGTCATGTTTGTATTGTTTTATCGCAATACGTTTGAAAAGTAAAATCTTTAAATGATATATATGTTATTTATGTATTTGATATTTAGCATATATACATATTATGCGCTGATATATAATACATATAATATATTATAATATGTGTAATTATTTTTCTATGTGTGGAAGTAAATCTACGTATCACATCAAATCCATAGGATTACCAAATTTGATACGTATATATATCATTAAAAAATTACAAATTCTGTGTTGCGCATCGGTATTTCATGTACATAAAATATATATATATAAATAATACTATTATTCTTTCAAGAGAGCTAGTTGTAAGAGAGGCATTACTTTTAACGAAGATAAATCTGCTAATACAGCCTGAAAATAAAGATGTGTACATAAATATTCACGTTATAAACAGATTTGCACATAATGATTTGCACATATGTATTTAGTAAGCTGTGTTGTTTGCACACCTCTACATTTTGCTGAGTATTGACTTGCAGTAAATTTTCTTTTCGAAAACTCAGTATTGTCACTGCCAATAACGGGATGATCTCCAAAGAGTCATAACCGAGAATTAGATCCCACAGATACAACAGTTGTTCGGGTGGTAAATGACCGCTGAAACCTCTCATGAGCCATTTAAAAACTATTCTTATGCTAAAAAAAAAAAAACAATAAGTGCGCGCGCTTATGATATTAACGTACGTAAATAAAAAAACATGTTAATTAATTGAGAAAACAAAACGTTGAAGTTGACACTCACGGTTGAACGTGTATATTTTTTAAATGGGCCCATAATTGCGGTTCGTGGCACTGCAGCAATCGTTCGAAGAGCAAACAGAGAGCGACTATGCCTTGTTCGTGGCTCGACACGGTGTGCAGACGAAACCAATATCTCAGGTAAAACGCACGAAAAGTGTAATACATGGCGCAGGGATCGTCGTATAAATAACAAAACGGTGTGGCTAGCAACCACCACACACGGTGTATAATTTGCAGTTCGTTCAATTAAATTACACACGTGAATTTAACTTGAGTCTGAATGCCGTGCAATAATAATTTTGGAATAGAATTTCTTACCGTACATTGTGAATCCGTGAAACGGAATAACACCGCTAGGTGGAAAAACCAATGTATTTTCTAACGTCGCCGGTTTGCCCTGCAGAACCGCGTGAATCACTTGGCCGCCGGCACTTCTGTCAGTTGTGACCGGAGCAAGCACTTCGGAATCTCGCGAGAAACACAACATGGTTTTGTACAAAATATCCTCGAATACAAAATACTGATCGTCGTTTCTTGCCGTTAACTGTACATCCTGCGCGCAATCGTTACATTAACAATACAATTGCTGTTTGTTTTATATCGAAATATTTGCGTTGAAAAAAAAAAAACAAACAAAACAAATTTACCATTATTATCAGTTTATCTATCACAATGTCGTACTGCAATACCATATTTTTTAATTCATCGTAATAATCTACGTCCTGAAACAAAAGGAATTTATCTAGATTATTTTGTAACAAAGACGTCTACCTATGAAACATTAATCGTACGTTATCTTTGATAACGGATCCGAGAACGAGAGACCAGAGTCGACCGCGTAACGCTCGCGGCGAGCCACGTTTGAGAAATTCTTGAGCGATCGGTGCGTGATTGGAACTCAGTACTTTTTCGCCGATGTGCGTACGCTCGGCTTCTAAATTCGGAAAACCTTCCGCGGACGGCAGTTCAGGATTCACTCCGAGTAACGACATTCCTTGAGCCAATTCCGAATACATGCGTCTCTACACAGAAAAAAAAAAAAAATATGTCGTACTCAAGATATATATACACAAAAATCACAAATTTGTACAATCATTTGTAAAAAAGTTTTATATACCAATTGCGCGAGTGTTTTTACGCCAATTTGTATGTGACTGAAATCCCAATTCAATTCGTCTCTGAAACGGTTTTCCGCTCTTGTTAAAACACGTTTGTCTCATTCTCGTGAATGTGTTATTATCAAGAATTTAAAATCAAATTATATAAATTTAATTGTCTAATTATCATGTTTAATAAATCTATATAAAGTTTCTCTACACGCACGGTTGCTTCTTAAAGGAAGGATCGCGTATGGAAAACAACACGTCTAAGAAATCCTTCGGCGCGTACAACGGTCGATATTGCGACAAATCTGAAATGAGAAAAATTGCATCACACAAACGAGATAAGCAACGAATAATTTGTGAGACGATATATTTTCGCGAATAAATATTAACCGATGTCGTAAGTGCTAAGTTCGTTCCACTTTTCGACAAGTTCGTCCCGATCGGCAGTTGGTCTTATACGAGCCAGTGGAATATTTAGTTCGCTGCACGTCGAATTCAACGACTTCTGTATGCGCCGTTCCCATTGAATCTGTGTCTTCTTCAAGTAACTCAGATCGGCCGATTGTATGTGGGAAACCGATCGCGAGTGCAACGAGCCCTGAAAATTTGTTCGGATCGTTAAAACTTGTACCCAAAATTGCCTTGAAAAAAAAAAAAAAAAAAAAAACACAAGTACCCACGTACTCGCGATCGCGCCCAGTGAAACACGGTGTTTCTGATCTCCGTTTCCAAGCCGTTGGTTTTCAATGCCGCGATCAGGGAATTTTTGAAATCGTCCTTGTCCACGACGGGCGACGCGACGAGTCTCTGGCGAGAAAAAGACAAGGATAACAACAATTAAATTTCTCCCAAAATGTGTAATTCGAGTCTCAACACCACCCACCTGTATTTCGCTGTAAAGCGCCTTGTAATTCGACATGTTCTGTATATCCTCGGTGAGTTTCCGAGCTGTCTTGTCGAGGGACGCATTCTTCTCCGTAATTTCTTCGCTCATTGTTTTTCGATGTGCACTCTCTCGTGCGCTCTCTCTCTCTCTCTCTCTGGGACAGGATTCTTTCTCGCGTTCGAAGATAAATTGAAAATGTGCGCCATATTTAAACAATCGTTTTTCCACAGCAACGGTCACGTGTGTCGTTCCGTTGGAAACGTCGAGTATTCATGTGCGAGAAAGATATGAAAATGCGCCTTAAAAGAAACGGATAGATGAAAATATATAAAGTGCATGACGTAAACTATAGATTTTCGCAAGTTTACCGGCGATGGATCTAGAAACACGGGCCCGCACCACACAAGTGGGCAAGTGGCTGCATGTGCGCGATGATGTGTGTTTGTATAGATATGTGTGAGGAATATTGAAATTCATCTGTCTCTGTGCGTCGTCTCATATTGCGCAAAGTGTTTTCTGAAAGGTTTGGCGAGAAAAAAAATTGTTTATAAAAAAAAAAACAACAACATTTGTGCTCCGAGAGAAACAAGAACGCCACATGTTCGATGTGGTTCTCTTTCTCTCCGGTTTTTTTTTTTCCCCGACGTGCCATTTCTGTCAGAACAGGATGGAGTTAGGAGTTCAGCCGTAGGCAGGCAGGTTAACCGGACCAGAGTTGGAACTGGCGGAGCTGCAGCGCGAAAGTTCTTCGATTAAATTGCGATTAATTGCGCGAATTCGATAACGCGAATCTTTGAGATCCTTTACGTCAATCGGAAACCTCGTTACAACCGCTCTCACGCTGTTTCACGTAGGAAAATGGCGGTGCAACAATCCCGGTTGTTTTGAAACATACAACTTTGCTGCTGATGATCGACGAAGTTGCCAAAACTAACATGGATATCTCAGCTATGCTCGAGGTACAGGTGAAAGAAGAGTCGGAAACGGATTCAAATGGTAAGTAATGATTGTTGCGAGCAGAACGGACGCAACGAAACGCGAGCTTCCATATCCAAACTCGATACTCGAGTTGTTCTAACCTATACTTTGTTCTCTTCTATTGCAGCAGTATCAGAAAAAGATAACAGTTTACTCAACTCAATTCCCGAACTGGAAGTCGCGCCGGTTCCCGAGGAAGAGAAGAATTTCTACAACCTCATGTTCGACAATGGTCAGTTCTGTGTGTGGACAAGAAGTCTTTCTACTTCTCACTAACAGTTTATAGTTCACACATTTTTTTTTCCCTGTTTGTTTCGATTTGATTGAAGAAAATAATATAAATTTACAAGAAGTTACTTTTGAAATAGCAGAAATTGCGCATATTACATGTGTGTAACATAAACATTTAATGTTTCAGATCTTGCATCCGTAAGATTCTGGAGACTTCACTGTACAGCATGCGACGTGCACATAGGTTCTGCTCCATCTCAAGCTCATAATATGTATCAACATCCTATACTTCGTACGCTACTTTGTGCAAAATGTCGAGCATTTTATGGAGATGGCAATTTTGAACAAGGTAAACATAATCAATTTATTTATTCGTGTGTGTTTTATAAAATGTTTATAATTTATTAGAATTATAATTTATGATTTATACTTTATATCTTTAGGTGATGATGCTACAGACATGTTCTGTAGATGGTGTGCAAATGGTGGTAGTTTGTATTGCTGTTCATATTGCAGTAATACATTTTGTACAAAATGTATAAGAAGAAATTTCACATCTTTGGTTAGAAAGAAAATTGAGGCCGACGAAAAATGGAAATGCTTTGTATGCAATCCTAGTGATCTGTACAGCGCAAGAGCTGTGTGTTGGGCTCTTCTCGAACACGTGAAAACAGTAAAAAGGTATTGTCACGAGAAATGCTCTTATTAGTAACACATCAATCTTTAATTTATTTATTTTTTTGAATATGTGCATATTGATATTGATTTTTAATATATTTCACAGAATACTCAAAAATAGTAAGGTAATGTCTACCCAGGAAATTGAGGATAAGATGAATTTAGATGAATCGCCGTGTTGTCCGCGTACGAGAAAACGCAAACGTCGAAGAAACGAATCAAATTCTGAAGATGAGGATGAGACATATGTACCTTCATACAATGGGTTAATAAATCAAGGAAACAAACGCAAACAAATGAGAAAGTTCAAACTCACTCAGCCGATGCATACCAATTTAAATGGCGTCAATACGTCATATGTGAAGCAACTGTATCCCATTCGGCCACGTCCAACTTCGATGTTAACTAATTTCCCTTCGAATGAACAAGGAACCGAGCCCAATAAGATCAGAACTGTGTCGGATAACGTTCTCTTTCCATCATCAAGTTTAGTGAATGACATGTCTCGTTCAGACGTTTCATCATCATCGAGATTTGAAAATACCAATACATTGCAAAAACAGACAATATATCACGCTACTCTGGTAGGTTCCATAGGTTCAAACGCTTATATTACACCGTCTACTGCAGACTCCGCGCCTCGTAGATGCGCAGTTCTTATTCCTCAGTCACAGTCACAGACGAGCCAACCGTTACAGTCAAATAAATTCCATGCACCGCAATCACTCCAGTCAAATACAATGGTGTCCATACCCAAATCACCAAACAGATCTTCTCTTGTCTTGCGGAACTTGCTTGAAGGCACGCCTTCCAACATAATCGAACTTGACAGTGATTCTGACGACGAACCGAAGATTGTCGAAAATCCAACAGCCAATGTGAATAACAAGAACAAGGATGTTATTATATCTTCCGAGAGAATAGTTCCTGTTGCGCTTGCATGGGACAAGACAAATATCGGTAAAATAATAGAACAGTCTCTGAAAGTGATGTACTCATCTCTGAAGACGACTCCTCCTTCCTTTAGTGAGAAGATGTCGCCGCACAGTCAAGAACTCAAACAAGTTTTAAGTAACATAAATGAAAAACTAGTGAATTTCTTTAATTTAAATGAACGAAATGAAGATATTGATTTGATTGCGCGAAAAAAGATGATGCAGTTTTATCAAATTATACGCGACACGGTACTACAGTTAGCGCAAATTAACGATAGAGCAGTGCGCGAATATAATGACTGGGTGAGATCTCGAAAAATAGATAAGAACGCGTCGCCGTCTTCAACCGACGAGAACACAATAACAAGTTCGGAAAATGTAGAGATTCCATTAGACATGATTTGCGTTAACGATTCCGATACCGAGTCTGAAATTGAAAAATTGATCGATCACAAAGTTATCGAGCCATCTGAACTTGTTAAACAGTGTAAAATTGTTGAAAATGTGCTTTTCTCTAAAAAACAAGTTGTGCATCGAGCCGTCGGTGATGACATTGCGCATTCATTGGTAGATCAAGAGATTCAAGTATACGACGTGATCTCAAGGGATTATGAGAAATATATCGGTCACTCGGTTTTGAAGAAAGTCGATTATGACAAGTCGAGAACAGACGATAGTGCTTCGAAAGCAGTGATGACGCTTGAGAACTTCGGCAAATACGAGGAACAATTTATCTTTTACTTGCAACATATTGAAGATCACGGCATCGAGATTGAGGATATGGATGGTTTAACGGACTCGAACAAAATACCAATTGAAAAGCAAATAGAGACGAATTCGTCGTTTATCTTGCATGCAGATTCCGATCAGACAAATAATTGTGAGCAAGAAGACAGTTCAACGAATTACATCACTACTCCAACAACCAAGAACGACGAGTCAATAACGTTTACAGAACGTTTAAAAGAGTTTGAGAAAACATTAAAAGAAGTTGAGTTGCGAAACAAAACAAAGACAGACAATGATGCGGCATTGTTGATATTGAACAATGACGTAAACCCGGATCAAAACGATAGTAATGTAGTAAATGTGAGAGAAGTTACTTCGACTGAAAGAGCGGATGACATTATTATCGATGATTGTGCTATTATTGATGATTAATAAGCTTTTAAGGTACTGTAACTTCTAAATTTGTGTAAATTGAAATATTTTATTTTGGTTTATAATCAGCTTTATAACTAATCAAATCGTTTAGAGAGATAATTGTGTAAGACACAACAGCTTTCTCATTTTAGAGCCATAATCTTTTTCTTTTTGTTCTTAAAGAAGTTACAGTTACCTCACAGAGGATGAAATTTGTATTATATACATATATATGAGTGATGTGTATAAAGTATTTCATTTCTATAGATTATAATAAAAAATAAATATTAAGATGTCCCGCAAATGGCATTGTGTGAAGAATTTGCTTTCTAATAATAATTAAAAAGTTTATGTTGTCATTTATTTTTAGTCTATTCTCAATCTGTTTATTATAAGTAATTTATAGTATACTTCGGCAAACTTTTTTTACACAACGACAGTAATGTAATACGTTTGATAGAATGGCAATTATTTTAAATAAATTGTCTATTATATATTAGTTTACATAATTTAACATTTAACGTTTTTTTGTAAATATATACAATAATGCGCGAACAACTTGTGGCATACATGTGTTACTAAATGTCTTGTTACTTTTGTAGGAACATTTTACAACTGGACAAGTGTATCGAAAGCGTTAAACATGTTGTGTACTTAATAGATTACCAAAACTTGAAGTTAGCTATTTTAAAAGAGATAAGAGGTAAAACTGAAATACTTCTATTATTAGATTCGACTAGAAAACAGTAAAAGTGTTGCAGATTTTGACATTATACATCTACACTGTAAAAAAAAATGTGAACTTACACGAAATTTTACACAATTGTTGTAAATGTCACGTTATAATTAGTTAGTTATAATTTTAAGTGTAGAACATCATGCCGGTTTACAACTAAATTGTAAATTTACATTTTTAGTATCGATAGCGAGTAAGTTTCCAATATCTTGTGCAGTGTAAAAATGTATAATTTTTGTGCGCCATAAGTACGCAGCATTAATTCGCTCACTTGTATACGTATGTACATAACACAGCGTCTTTGTGGTGTGGTCACATATCTTACAAGATATATAAAATGTTATGTTTCTTGTGCAAAGACTCATTGTTATATTGTAGCTAATCGACTATTATGCACATACATATTTAATTTGCACATTTTTGTCGAGTCAGAGTTGTTAAAGTTTTGTTTGGTCAGTCACTTCGTTTCGGTATACTCGCGCAATTATCACCAAAGAATCAGCGTATTCTGAACACTGTTTTCTCACAAACTCCACAAACATTCATAAATATTCAGCAACTGGCTAATAATGTTCGATTATCCTCGAAAGGTGAAGGCATACATATACATGCCGGGGTGTTAATGTACATACGTATTCTATATAAAAACAAGACGAGTAGTTAGACATATTCCTAGCCTGTTCGCTCTCGAATTTTTTGAAAGCAATACGCGTGTGAATTGTGCAAGTTTCGCGAAATGAAAAGAGTGTAAGAGTAAGAAGTATTTAAGTTGTTTTATACATAGTTCGTTAGATTATAGATATTTAGACATTAGATATTTAACATTATCCACATTTAATAATTAGTTCGTGCAACATAAGTTTCGTAAGAATAAAGACAGATTACTTCTTTTCATGTGAACTTGTTTCTTATATTATATGTGTGTGCAAAATATCAAAAATCTACAAGTTCATATAAAAATTAAAATTATTCTCTTTGTCTGAATATAAAAACATAAACAAACGAGGCACATATATAATTGTTCCTTAACAAAATAACAGTTACAGCAAATCGTTTCTCTTTAATGGTTTTTTATTTCATTTTTTTGTTTTATCACATACACATATATCAGAGAACACAGAAATATAACATTTATCTGATCATGTAGTTTTGCTTTTAGTGTACTGATATCTATTTGGCTCATATTACGTAAAAAGACATACATGTTTCGCTGTTAATGATTTTGCCGTAGAAATTTAATCATCAATGTTTCGCGAATTACGAATCTAGCGATTTGTACAAAACTTAATAGAAACTTGAAGCAAAGTGTTATAGACATCTGTAACTTTATGCACAGAAAAGAAATGTTTTTTCTTTTTATCTCTCTGATACGAAAATTTTTTTACATTTTGCGTTATGTTATTTTACTATCGTGGCAGTTTGTTTTTTGTTTTTATGAATACAAAGAGTAGCTCATGGAACATATTTGAGCAAGTTTTTGTACGATACTGGTTTGTATAAATAATAACATTAAGAAACAGAAATAATATTAATGTCTCGGGTTATCTTAAAATAAAATTAACAATAAATGCACTGCGAAAATACATGTTGAGAGCACACGTTGTCGGCTTGACGTTTCGGTACCGATGATGTTTATACGTTGCATTTGTGGAATCAGTGTTGTTCCTAGAATTCTTCATATCCTTTATAGATAACTTCTAGTATCGAAATTGGCCTTTCCTGCCTTTTCCATTATGGTATACTCTCAGCGGCGTGTAATTTCCATTTCCATTCATCACTGTATTTGCAAAATTGTAAAAAAATTATGAAAACGATAAAAATATGAGAAATACAGCACGCGTTTTTGTGTGTGTGAACAGCTACACGTATACATATATATTTATACATATATATATATATATATATTATATAATTCTCTGTAATACATGCAGAGAAGAAATACAGTGCAGAGGAGAAATACTGTGCAGAGAAGAAATACTGTGAGGAAAATGCAGTTACAGAACTGCATTTTAGTAATACATACGACACATATGTGTTTCGAAAGACATACTAAATAAGAAAATCTCGAACATATCGGATCACTTACTCAATTCAGGATCCTTTATAGTAGCTTGTGAGAGAGGTCAGAATTACGATGTGTATGTTAGAAATGAGAGAAACAATTCGATTAACGTGTACGCGTACCTTGCAAGTCCGCTTACCTTGCACAATAGTTGGAGGTTGGCGAGGTTTTTTAACGGCGTTTGTATAACATCTCGGCTTCACTAGACCATGATACAATATAAAATACAGGATGGCAACGGCGGTCGCCGCTATCGCCATGTAACGATACACGATTCCCAACGAGTGCACGATATCCTCGTCGCCGAACTTAACGTAAGCACCGATGACGGCTCCGAGGCATCGACCTGTGCGTCGGATAAAAAAAAAAAAAAAAAAAAAAACAAATCAATTCAACAATTCAAATCTATTCGACTGTTTCAACTGCTGAACGTACCGACGCAGAAATGAGCTATCACAGGCATTGCTTGGGCAGTCACAACCCAATAACGCGGTTGCAAATGTCTGACGTACAGGATGGCAGTAACCCACATTATTCCTAACGTGAATACTTCTAGAGCCTCCGAGATTAGAGACCACCAAGGTCCCGTCATGACACTCAGTATGATAAACCTATGATTGAAATTGGATGTGTTTAATGATAGGAAAGATATCTTGAGAGCTGTCGTTTAAATCGATTGTCGTTGGCAATCATCACGCGATAATGTATTGTCCGACTAGAAGAACTTACCTACCTTAGTATGTACACTGTGAAAGCAGTGATGAAGATGTTACTGTGTCCGCAGTAATCCACAAGATGTTCAGACTTCCAAAGGAACAGGAACGTCGGTACAGCACCGACGGTCATAGTGATACCGATAGTCAGATCATCGCCTCCTAATTTTTGCAAATATCTACACGAAAAAGAAATGAATTTTTCATATTTCTCAAACAAAAAGGACAGCGTGTTTTACAGACATTAATTAACAAACATGTTTCTTGAATGCTTTTAAGATCGTTTCAGAATCGAATTCTTACAAAGGCAGGTAGCTGTCCATCGCGCTCCAAAAGGTTCCCAACACTATCAAAATGAGAACCAGAACGAAGATCTCGTTGCCGTAACGTTTGATGGCGCTTAGTGGTAGCGCTAGCATGCCGTTTCTTGTGTGCCAATAACGTTCGGGACGAGTGAGCGGCATGCCGCACGCCAACAGAACGATGAGAACCGCAAGGAGCATCATTCCGCTGTGGAGAAGAAGCGGCGCAACGTAAGGTGGCCACACATCGATCGTCAATGTGCTTAGATAGCCGCTCAACGATCCCATGAGAGCGAAACCGAGAAAACCGAACGCCAATTGACGTCCGACGTCGCCGCGACCGCACGACGTTTCTCTGGTCGCGATTACCACCGCGGCGTTGATCAGAGTCAACGCGGCCATCGAGCTGGTGTCCGCGATCGAGCGCGCGGCCAGATATATCCAGAACCTCGCCTTCTCCGCCCAGCCTACGGAGAAAATACTACAACCGCCTGTAATAGCCTCCAGCACGCTGCAGTCGTCGCCGGCGGTCTTCAGCACGCTGCCTGAAACAAGAATGTTATCACTGTTGTTACAAACGAGAAATTCCGTCACGCTCCGCGTTGCAAACACGACGGAAAAAAAACTGTTGACGAAACTTTACCCGGGTGCGTGTACGGGTCAACCAGATCGCACATAACTAAACAGGTCTCGTTGTACTTGATCCTTCTGGCTTCCAGTACAGGCGATATGCGACAGAAGAAACGCTCGATCATGGGATACAGACAATACTTCTCCTCGTCGTCGGGATTTAACGCTTGTCCGAGAGTGCCGTTTATCGGCAGAACGTTCGAATATTCGGTGTAAACATGGCAGATTACGTTATAATTGTCATCCTCGTAACACAAATGCGGCGGTTCGTCCTTGATCACGAAGCGATGAGCTTTTTTCATTTCTTCCTGCGAGAAATTACATCTTCATCTTACAAACCGCTCTGGATGAGATACTTCGCGCGTGTAAATTCTGTAAAATATATATCCTCCTCCTCCTTCTCACCTTCATGTCAAATTCGGTGTCCAGCAGCGCGACGTTATCGCCACTGCTCTTGTTAAAGTCTGTCTCAATGTTAACGGTGATTCGAAACGTGTCGATGTCCTTTTGTTGAATGTCCAACACGGTGTGCGGGATGCATACGTAGCTGCAATTTTGCAGCAACATCGTGCCCGTTTCGCTGTCTTCGCCGGGCCAGCGGTGACATTGGTTCACGCATCTCTCTTGCTGCACCTGGAAATATCATTATTTCCCGTTTGACGTGAAGGCATGACCTTATATACACTGTATTTCTAACTAAAAGAAATAATATTTATTCTAATTTTGTAATGTAAAATTCTACCGTCGTGCGTTCTTTTTCATAGTTTCACGATATTGTCAGTATATTCCGTGGCAATATACACCATGAGCGTACCATCGAACTGTTTTCGTTACATCCGAAGATTACGTTCGGCGGATGGGCTTTCTCGGCCGAGAGCAGGTGAAGCGGTAGGAGATCCAGCAGCAGAAAATAGAAGAGCGCCGAGGAGAGGCAGGTGTAGGCGATCGTTAAACGCAGGTAAACGCTGTACTTGCAGCTACATCCGTTCGACGATCCGGAGCTCAAATACGTGTCGGCTCTCATTCCGACAACGAGCGGTCCCAGTATCGAGACCGCCGGCGAGACTATCGAGACGAACTTCACCTCCTCGATGCTCAGACCCATTTTTGTCATGTGCAACGGAAGAAACGGGAAGAGACTGCCGATGCCTGGAGAAAAAAAAACGCGTCGCGCGAATTGATAGAAATCAATTCGAAGTGACTGCTCAATACACATTGATGTATACTTTACCGGCGTAAAAGACGAAAAGAAGACATTTGAGCGATATCAGATTTGTATTGATGAATCTTTTCTTCGGGAGATCTTTTTCTTTTGGCGCGTCCTTCTCCTTCTTCTTGTCCTTCTTCTCTTTCTCCTTCTTGTCCTTCTCCTTCTTGTCCTTCTTCTCCACGTCCTCCGTTTTCTCCGTCGTCGTCGCCGTCGCCATTGTGAACAAGCTAAGTTCGTCTACTCAAGGGATGATCGCGAGTCAATTGGGACAACCTGGGGGGGTTGTCTAGTCCGTTAACTGATTGCTTATCTCCATCGCGTCGCGTTCATTCTGCTTGCGCCTGAGCTAGATTTTACGCCAAAGAAAAGTTACGCACGAGCGATAATGTGCGAGAGCTTTTTATAAATATTTTATAAATAAACAAGCTCCTCGATCTAGGAGCGAATTATATTTCATAATTTAATACGCAGAACAAAAGTTTGATAATAATTACATTTTACGCGTAATTTTCTCTATTTTAAATAAATTTATATTTTTTCAATTCTGAAACTATAAATATTACTTTTTCCGTTTAAAAAAAAAAAAAAAAGAAAATTGCGAAATTTAATACACCGACTTAATTTAACGCGAGACACCTTGCTTGATTGAGCAATGTCGTCAAGCGAGTCGGCCACGTATAATCGAACAGGAAAGCGATCGCACCTGCAGGCGCGTGCGGGAACATCAAAGACGAACCGCGCGGATGTAACATATCGCCACGTGAGTCGTAACGTGACGACAATAAAATTATTGTGCCATATTTGTACAGAGGGGCTCTCGTTAGTGCCGCATGACGGATGTGCTTTGGAAATGTAATATCCGCCGAATAGATATGGATTTCCGCACGTATATGTTGCCCTCACCCTCATAGAACGTATCATAGATATAAAAAAATCAGGTTTTGCAAAGTATACCTCCCGTTCGTCGTCGTTTTATATTTTTTATTTCGCACGTGCTGCAACTTTTTTATCTTGTAGTTATTTTATTTTACACACGTTTGAGATAGGAAAAAAGAGAGGAGAAATTAAGAAGTCTCACGACTTGCAAATGAAGATTCGTATAGAATGCGCTTGAAATATTTACGTAAAGAGACAGAGAGAGAGAGAGAGAATAAGAATGCTATTGTGAGAAAAATTGATAAATTGATAAAGAATTTCTCCTCTCTTTCTCCTCTCTTCCCTCCCACTGTCTATTTATCTATCGATCTATTTCTCTACGTGGCGAAATGCTTTCCAGCTCGTCCTTCAACGCGAGAATTTTTGTCGCGCGCTTATTATTAGACGTCATATTGGAAAAATCTCTTCTCTAAGATTAATATAAATGGCGCGGATTCGATTCGCGAAAAGAAAGACAGTAGTAGGTCGCAATTAATATTCCACGGGACGCGATGTCTTTTTTTTTTCTCTCGCGACGCTCGCGGCTAAATCTCTTTGCGTCTCCGTCGTCGTTGTCGTCGTCGTCGTCGTTGTGGAAGCAAAAGCCAGTTTAATCTGGAATATGTGGCAATAAAACTTCTCTCGACGTCATATCCGTGTAACGCGAGAGGAAATACACCGAAGGGGTGGAGGCATTTACTTTCTATCGGATCGTAAAGTTCCTTGTACGTGAGCGCTATTTATCCATGAATGAGCGCGTATGTAATCTCAAAGAGGAATTTGTGCCAAGGTAAACGCGCGCGCACGATTTAACGTGGATGATGCGCTCGAGTATCAATCAATTCGATTCATATGCAACGGATTTGGGACGTTTGAGACCGCGCTGTGAGACGGGTCTGCGTCAAATACATATCTATATGTACGCGCATGTCGCGGCCGCACATTCGAGATTTTCTCGTCATCTGTCACCGCCGATACATTTTAATTGCGTCGCAAATAAATTTTGGTCAGCGCGAGTCAACGATGGCTTTTCATTAAAAGTCCGGCGTGCATCTTTTTATCGCACAAGCTGATCTCTCTGGCGTCTCTCTCCTTTCCGTGGGTTTTGTTTTAGAATTTTAAAGCACTTAAAAAACACTCTAAAGTTCCTGACACGCTTTAAAAACAAAGTCTATTAATCAAGTTTCATTAAAACGACACAGCTCTTGATAAAAAAAAAAAAAAAAAAAAAAAAAAACTTTCGACCATTTTTTCAGTTCGCGTTCTCACTCGGTCAATTGTTTCCCAACACTTTCCCGCACAAGAGACATTAAGCGTTTTGAAACTTCTTGAAAAGACTCAACTTTTTGAAAAGACTCTGCTTCTTAAAAAAGACTCACAATCAACAAAAAGAAATTGACTTGTTTTCTGAGTGTTCAGAAAAAAAAATCTTGTCATATATGTTTCAAATATATCTTCTTGACGGTGTTTTGCGTTACTTTTTATTCTTCGATCTTATTTCTGTTCAATGATAGCATTAGGTAGTTGAGAGAAGCTGCGAAAAAGAGCCGCGAGCGATTAGTAATTGAATGATCACCGTGTACGAACGAGAGAGAGATTGATCTGCGTGTATATATTCCCTGTCGTTTTCAGATTGATTGCATCGCCGTCGCGACGGTTGTTGTTATTGACACACTTAGCTCTGAAAAAAAAAAAAAAATAGTTTTTCTTCCAAGATCTCGTATCAAATTAAAATGTCCATCGTTCACTTTTATCTCTTCGCCCGACTAATCGACATCTTCCGTCCGACAAATTTCGCTCGGGTCATTTTGTAATCACACAAAAGTGACGTAAGACGTGTGTGCGAGTTCTCGCCGAAGGAAGAAATTATCGACGTGTGTAGAGAGAAAATCTCACGTCGTGATCCTTGGTCCAAAGCCCGAAATTGATAAAACCTTTCGATTTGAAAAACGAAGCGACGAAGTATTCTCTTTTGCGGGCGAAGTTAAGTTCCGGATATCGTAACCAACTGAGTGTAACTGTGCGATTTAATGTCGCTCCGTTATTGTGTGAGAAATCGGCCGGACGGTCGTGAAATGGCTGCGAAACGGACTAGAGCGAGTTGTGCGTGTACTGGAATGACGGTGGCCCTAACTGGGTTAACGACAAGTTACGGAAGCCTCGGATGTTTTTGCAAGCTTTATTTAAAGTAAAGAAAAACGTGTTCGCTGAAACGTAATTCCGACGCGAGAATATCGCGCTCGTTTCGTGTGTTGTATAAAATAATAGAGTCGGAACTTTAAAAGAAAGTTTATAAAAGACATCAAAAGTCGCTAACAAACCCGGAGAATATACACATACGTTGTTGACGTGACTCAAACATTTGTCGTACACGGCGATCACTTAGTTTCTCTTTCTCTCTGTCTCTCTCTCTCTCTCTTTAATTCGCGGTAGTTTAAACTGAATTAAACTACACACACTTTAAGAGTGTCTATTCCAATTCATAACTAGAAATTTCCTGGAAAAACACCGCTTGGGCATAAGAAATTTCCAAGGATCTTCCACGTGCATTAATAATACTCGGCTATAAATAGAACTGTGCGAACGCCGGTGCCTTTTGACCAGGAGGCACCGGAGATTCATCTAATCTAATTTTGATTTGACACAACGCTCCGACACGACAGGCGGAAGTCGCAACTCGCGTTAATAAAACATTTTGCGTCTTTCTTTTCCTCTCTCTCTCTCTCTCTCTCTCTCTCTCTCTCTCTCTCTCTCTCTCTCTCCTCGTCCTACCTTTCTAAATAATTTTTTTCACAAAGCGCTTCCGTATCCTCTCTTTTTTTTTTTAACTGTGTGCGCGAGTATTGAACATAAATGTCATATTTTTCAAGACACAGAAACACACTGTTGTCCCGCGAATGTAAAAGTAGTTTCAAAAGAGCAAGGTTCTTCTTTCTTTACAAGGTAGGTAGTCTTTACGAGATTGCCACATTGCATCACACGCCGAGAACAGGTCTCCGATTACGTCAATATCCAGCTCCATATCGTCGCGAGTCACCGAATATTCTTTGGCGATCTTGGCGATCATCGGTGTGAAGACAAAGCCTTCTAAAAATAATTCTCTACGAGTTCCGTCACACGTGTTGTAATAACGTCAACGGCATATTCCGTTCGTCAGACGTAATGTGGAGACTTTGATGTAATTGCTTTTTTTATAAACAAGCGACACAACGAATATACGTACGAGCGATGTACAAATAAGTGCAACAGTGAAAAGTACTTTTATCGCACCTCTCTCTCTCTCTCTCTCTTTAAAAAAAATTTCTTCCGTTTCTTTCTTCAGTTCCTTACAGCTCTCTGTAATTTAATGTACAGTTCGAGATTTGCACCTTCCTCCGATGGAGCGCGGTGACAGATTCATTTTCTTCCGCCGAGCCAAGCGCTTTTACTGTCATTTCAGTGGTTATTATTCTCACCCTTATAAGTGTCCGCACACAATGAGACGTTCGCGAAATCGTTCCTTTTCGCTTTCTCTCCCGATGGGAGAGAATGGAACATCGTATTACAACGCGATAAAAAGCCTCGCTCGTTATCATCACGGCACGCGGCCGGGGAACAAAAGTTTCGTTCTCAATGGCCGCGCGTCTGAGAGGCCGCGGGCCGATTAAATCTTCACCGAAAAGCATTGCATTTCGCGTGTATACGCGCGGGATCAAGAGAAGCGCGTGCTTCGATCCTCTAAATATAACTCGTTTTGTTACACACACACAGTGCGGGATTCAACTGCGCGCACGTGTAAACAAATCAAGTGCGGAGAATCACGCGATTCAATCGTTACACTATGTTAAACTTTTTTTTGTCATAAGACGAATATGTTCGCAATGAAAGAAAAAGAGAGTTCGTGTTGAAGAAAAAAAGCAATTTGTGTCGGAGAGCGAGACATTTTCTCGGCAAAATTCGCGTGAATATTTGAAGACCTCGTAAAAGCACGAACTTAGTTCCTGATTCGAGCACCCCCCAATGGTTACAGTACCCTGACGCCCGCATAAAGAATCGATTGCAACGCCGTCCTTTGTCACGAGATAAGAACGCGCGCGCGCGCGTAAATCTTCTTCTTCCTCAATGCGATCTTTTACAATGGAACTGCGCCTTCGACGAGAACACACCGAGAGAAGACACGAATCACAACATTACCATACAAATACACTCGACGATGTTCTCAGGTCGTTGGGTGGTACGCGCAACGCTCACACGCGTGCTATTATCGTTGTTACGCAAAATGTCGTGATCACACACGCGTGTGTGACCTTTCTTCCACTCACCGATTGGTGTCTCACGCGCGAAATTGGGTTAATGAAATCACGGAGGAGGAAGAAGATGAACGAGAGTCCAGGTGTATACGCGAGTTCGCCGGCACGAGTCTCTCCGCGGAATTCCGTGCGAAAAGGAAATCGCTTTAGTCAGCAAGTTGCGACTTTAATCTGGAGCGGCAATCACGAGGGGAAGGGGAAACACATTAGGCTGATTACATCGCGGTCTGCGCGTATTTTTTTTTATTTCCTCATTAATTTTACGGCCTTCGTCCGTCTATGACGGACGTGACATTTTTCGGACGGAGCACGGAACGGGGAGACAGAGTGGTCGGTTTTTTCTTTACGAGTCAATAATAGAAAGCGCTCATATCATAACGGAATGAAGCGTGTATTTGCGGATGACGCTGCAGGTGCGCTCGCGCGCGCGCGCGTGTGTGTGCCGCGTTTGAAGCACGGGAAACGCGCGACGCTCCGTGTAACGGAAATCCTACGGAAAAACGGAGATGGATTTCTCTTGTCGTCTTGGAGAAGACGATAAAAGCTCAAGCGGCAAACTTCTGAGGAATATCGCGCGCGATACAGATAGAATTAATAACTTTGTAATGAGAACGAAAACTGATGACACGGGATGAACATAAAAGAAAAAAGGAAGAAGTTCGAACTGGTTTTCGCAGAAAGACGTCGAAGTTAAAATTGTGCGTGTGTCATCACGAATAAAGAAATTGGTGTGATTATGTAATAAGACCACCACCCGCAGATCCTTGAAAAAGTATTGCCAACAATCGTGTAAACGCGACAATCGGTGAGCCCACGTGTCGTAACGTTGACAACCAGAATGCAGATTCGCGGCCTGCAGCGTTCGCTTCAGGGTCGCGTTTCTAAACCAGGCGGTGACGTTAAACAGCGTCGGAATCTTTCCTCCCGATTGAATCTAGTAGCTTCTTTTCCGCGTAGTCTTTTTAATTACCGAAGAGAAAGTCATTATCAAATCTGTAATCACAACGATGCAGAATTATTTAATTTTATATGTCGAACAAAATCTACATCAATATATACAAAACAATTACACAAATGCAAATCTCGCGCGTAAAAAGATATGATTTATAGAAATGATTTACGAGGCTTGTGAAAACGGAGAAAAACTATTTTTATCTGGGTATTATCTACTGATTTACGTAGTTTTTGCGCATACGGACGATGGATTATTGTCTGTATTCCCCGCGCGCATGCCAAACATCGGCTAAAAGTGGACCTACTGCACCTCCCAGTGCGAATCAGCGATTCAATTGAGAGCCAGCGGCGTGAGACGCGGGACAGATTTCACGATCGATGGGAATTACTCATTCAAGCCGTCGCACGGCCGGGCTACCTAATTCCGCCCACCAAGCGAGTTCCCCTCCTCGCCCTTGCTCCAACTCGAGGGCTGCGCCCCTCGTATGACGGGGTGCCCCCCGGAGAAATAGCGTCGGTAGGAACTTGCTTCCCCTATAGCGTAGCCCTATAGAAATGGTAAATACGATGCGCCGAATAATCGTCCGATTCCGAGGCGTAATTCCGCTTCGCACGATACTGTGAGCGCGTTTGGATCCACTGAAGAGCCTACGGACGCGCCGGTTCTTCTTTCGAGTGCGTTGAGTTGAAAAGTCGCGAAACAAATTAAACCTCCCCCCAATTAATTTTATACCCGCGTTACGTTAAACAAAAGGGAATACGCGCGATATTATGACTCTGTTATTCACACACCGGAATATAAAATATGCGACTATGAAGGTGTGAGCGTGTACATACATACGTATTACTTGCGTGATCGATTGCGAAAGTTTTTTTTAGCGCGCGCTGAGAAGTTATCTCGTCTCGCAGTTCAAACTTTGCAAGCAATGATGTGCTTCTGCAAGTAATCACGAATCTCTGTGAAACATTGCACCAATTTATCTTGAGCATTTATCGTCGCGCTTCTGCGAGAAGGTGTCGGAGATGTCTTTAAATTCTCACGCAAAAATCGACGCGCGATGAACGCGTCGCAACGTATTGAACGCGATCCGAAGTTTCGTCAAGAAAATAAATGAGAAACTCTCCCGCAGATTCCGGAAGACGGTTCTGTGGACGAGAGAGTACTTTTCCAATAACCGATTTCGTTCTCTGTCGCAGAGAAGTTTCCCGACAGAATGGCAATGCCGTCGTCGCAGAACCGCCCGTCGTTGATATTATAAATCCACGATCCACATACTCCTGCGTGGAAGGATTGAATCCAGTTTTCGCTTGATCTGATACGCGTTACAAAGATTCTGTGACAAAAAAAAAATTATCTCAGAAAAAACACAAGAAAACTGGTTAATAAAAAAGAGATCAAATAATCACAATTTTTCAAATAAATAAACAAAAAACTCTCTTAAACTTTTATTCAGATCTTTTTTCAAGTATCGTCTGAAATGTCTCGCTAGATTTAATTGCGATTTAAATTGATTGTTGATTGACGACTCGATCATTTTCAATTAGCGGTCAGTGTTTGCTCGCTACACTTCCAATAACGCAATAAAAACCTGCCGATACAAATGCAGCTTACAAATAGGCGCTTGATTTGCTTCGTCACTCCGTTTTTTTTTTTTTTTTTTTTTTTTTCAGTTTCCGATCGCACACACGATGTCAATAACGCACGCTCGATACCCCCGCGCGCACGATGCGCGCATGCTGTTTATTTTCCTCCTCTCCTCGGAGGTAAAACGTACAACAGGATGCCCAGCATGTATTTACCGCGGATAACGGAACCGCGACGATGTCGGAGAAGCGTGAGGCAAGAAGAGCAGGGAAGAAAGAGACGAGAAACGGTGGGAGAGTCGAGAGATGGAAGAACGACCGATAGAAAGAAGGCGCCTCGAGAAGGAAACGGAGAACCTGTACGGCAACAAGACACGCGACGTCCGTTTATGATTTCACGTTCGATATAGGAAACATAACTCGCGCGCGAATGCTCGCACTCTAAATATTGATGCAAAGATAACTGTCAGTAAAAAGAGAAGTCAATTTGAGTCAACTCGATCGAAAACAAAGCAAACTCATAAAAATGTGAAATCTGTTTTAGACATGATTTCATCCCGCTCGAGAAGACTCGCAGATTTTTAAATAGCAATTCATATTTCTTTTTCAAAGAATCGAAAACACGATTTACAATCGTGAATTGCACAATCACATTCTCTTTCTCAAATGTCTCAAGTAAATGTTAAAGTTGTTTGAAAAAAAAAAAAAGAATTTTTTTTTCCAAACAGATAAAAAATAAACTACGCTTTTTCTACGTACGTACGTATGTTACGTTCAAAAGCGTGTCGTGTCCCGACATAGGTGGGCGAGCACCCGCAAGTCGCGAGGCAAACGCTCGCGTTACGCGCGGAATGACACGAGTGTTACTCCCTGGTTCTCGTACAATATGTACGCGCCGTCGCGTGTACACGCAATATGCGTATGTAGTAGAGCGGGAAGATCTTTGCGTGATAAGGAGACAAGCGTGTGCGAGTCCTGCACGCCTCGCAGTATACAGCGCTCGCGATCGACGCGATCGGGAAACCGTTTTCCGGCGATAGTGACACTGTGAGCGGACCGCTTCGTCCACGGTTCGATATTGCACATTGGCACGCTACTCTTCTCGCATAAATTACCAATGTTCCCTATGGAAAACAGACGAGAGTAAGTTAAAAGTTGTAGACATGTTGTATTTGACATGTAGTGGTAATATATGGAAAAGAGTTGGATTATCTTCAAAAACAAAAGAGGGAAGGAGAGGCTTAATGGCTGAAAAAAGCCTCTGCGAACTGGGAAACGATCAATTTCTTTTACATATACATACTGTATATATATTATGTATATATAATACATGAGTATAAAACAAGTTTCTTGTCCGAATATCTGCGTATGTTTTATTCGTAAAGATCCTTGAGATAGTCCTGTCACGAAAGAGAAGGTTAGCTCTTCTACCTCGACAACGGAAACATCACTTCACTCCCTCGATTATTTTCAAGGAAAATGTTAATGATCCTTCAAATGTCGCTTTCGTCTGTGGAACTGAGTGGTACCTGCGCGCTCTCCGGTCGATACGTACTCTCTCTCTCTCTCTCTCGAGTACATCTCTCCCGAACATGATTCGCACCTTTGGTGCTGGATGTAACTGGCAACAAACGACTTCAACCTTGTGCTTCTGAGTTACATCAAATTTCCGAGTCCACTTTTTTTCAAAAACTACTTTATTTCAAAATCGAACGTAACTGCTGCTTCTCTCTTTTTTCACGTTTGATGAATCGATTTCGCATTACGAAGGCGGAAACTTGAAACAAATGTTGTTCTTTCTGTGCGCCCAACACGCACGAGAGCACGTCGATTATTTAAAATAATTTCTCTGGGAACCGTTTGATGATAGAAATTTGCTCGGCGCGTCAGCCGCGGAAACGATTAACGTGCGTGCAGTGGCGCAACGATGCGTCGCGGGTCGCGCGATAGGAGAGACAGAGAAGCGGGGAGAAAAGAAGCTACCGGATAATCACGATGTCCGTGCGGAGACTGCTTTTCACGAAGTTTGTTGATATTTGTCGCCGGGTTGAATTGAGGCTCATTCAGAGTAAATTGGGTTGTGTATATGTTGGCGGGCGGAGTGACATGTACATACGTGACGCGTAGATGGATAGATATGACAAAAAATGATATAGGTAAAATCCAGAAATAATGTACATATACGTAACGCGTAGGTGAATAGATATGACAAAAAATGATACAGGTAAAATCTAAAGATAATTGAGATAAAAATGATTTCGCAGTTTTGTGCAATATTCAAGAATTTCGGCTAGAACGAGTGTTCTCGTGCGCGACATCAAAATCAAGCGCGCCCTCGTGGCTGGTCGTGGTCAAACGCGATCGTGCGCCATGTAACTTTAATATCTGCACGAGCAACTGTACGAGCGTTGATTAAGCAAAAGTCACAACGAATGAACCGTGGTGCTTGTTCAGTCCTTTGATGTCTATCTGGCCGATATCGAAACTAGAGAAAAAAGAGAGAGAGAGAGAGAGAGAGAACGTGTGTATATACAATATATACGTATATTCTATATGTTGTGTATATATATATATATACCTATGCGTATGTACGCGCATCGGAAATTGCAGCAAGAGGTACATTTCCATTTAGCGTTAATATTAGTTTCAACGGGAAGCGATCGACGAGACAAATTGCGAGAGAGAGAGAGAGAGAGAGAGAGAGAGAGAGTCACCTGAGTCTCACACTTCGGAGCTCAGATCGCGAAGTTAATTAACACGATCGAGATTCCGGAAACCGCGGACGAGACTGTCCTCGCGGAGAAGATTGATCCGTTAAAAACAATTGCTTCTCGGATATCAATTCTGTAAAGCAGGTCACGTAGATTCACGACTGGAACGAGAGGGAATCGTCGACGAACACGGCGGATGTTGCTTTGCTACTTCGCGTTGACTTCGATCGTGTTATCGGGAGCTGTGCGCGGGAGAGTGTACCTATCGTTCCTCTCTCAAGAGAGAGAGAAAAAGAGAGAGAAAGAGAGAGAGAGAGAGAGAGAGAGAGAAAGAGAGAGAGCGAAATTCTCTTTTCCTTCCGAAAACAGATCGGCGGAAGATTTCATTAAAGGAAACGCGCGCCGATCTGTCGAAATTCCGATTTCTCTCACGATAAATTCCGTCACACAGAAGCGTTTTTGTAACACGATCTAAGGAAGCTTTTCCTCTCATCAAGTAAGTGACTATATAGTGATGCAGTTTTGAGGAAACGCTTAACAAACGATATTTGATGAAGTTAGAATTAAGAGCAATTCTTGAATTTGGAATTACGCCAGAAAGCTTCACAGGTGGTTAAGGTAACTTCGACGAGACTCTCGAACTACATTGTACGATGGTTTAAACTATTATTTGTATCTCCACTGCAAAAGAGAGAGAGAGAGAGAGAGAGAGAGAGAGAGAGAGAGAGAGAGAGAGAGANAGAGAGAGAGAGAGAGAGAGAGAGAGAGAGAGAGAGAGAGAGAGAGAGAAAGAGAGAGAGAGAGAAAGAGAGATCAAATGCTGTAGAGTTAGGTAGCAGATGCTAATTACTTTTAACAGAGAAATTAAACAGAGATGTCAGCGCTCTAACTCGTTTATGTGCGACCAATCCTTCGGTGCAGTCACACACCAGTTAATCAACCGCGATCGTCGATCGTCGATTGCTCTCATTTTCTAGATGACGTCTGTACTCGTGTCGCATTAAAGAAGATGAGGATTAAGTTAATTACGGATTAGTGCTCACGTTATGAATTATCGCGAGGTCAGTTACACCGATTAGATTGGTCACCCACATTCTGGTTTCCCATCTCTGAATTCGCTCTGATGTTAGATCTATCAGTTTTTTTTCAGAAAACGTAACGGCAAAACGTAAACCGTCTCACGAAAGGCACGTACGTAAAATTGGGGTGTAACGGTGACCCATTTTCAGCGCAACCGCCCCTATCGAGGTCGGAGGTGCAGCAACCCGGGAAGGTAGCCCGGCGCGCGAATCCCTTGCATCCCTCTCGCGAATCTGACGAGGGAGGGAAAGAGACGAGCATATATAATTTACTTACGATCCGGAAGCACCGAGATGTGCTCGTTAGGGAACTGGGTCCTCCGGTTCTCTCGGGAGGGGGGAGAGATGATACAGAAGACCGATTATATCACATAGAATATAATCTACGATGATCGTGTGTGTCACTGGACTACTGGCAATCGCATGTATCGCGACACGCGATGATGCAACAAACAAACTGCGGGCACGAAGTCCAGCGAGCGACTGTTGCGTTCCAGCGGCGGTTCCGTCCCCGCTTCTCGTTCTCGGCGCGGCGCAGCTCGGCGCGCGAACCCGCCACGCCGCGCGTCTCCGCGCATAAACGTCAATGCGAGGTGCTCCGCTACAAGGTACATACGTACGGGATAAGAGAGAGGTAGTGAGAAAGAGTGTGAGAGAAAGAAAGAAATAGGTTTTATATATATACATGTATATATATATATATATTTACGTGTGTACATATGTGCGCTTCGTCTTCATCTTCGCGCGCACCTTCTTTCCTGTGCACCAAGACGGAAATAAAGACGCACGGTTTTGCGCGCGAGCTGTTACTCACGGGTTCGAGCGTCTTTGAACTGCGCTGTATAACATCCCCTTGCTATATTAATCCCCCGACGGGACTCTCCGACTTCAATCATGCACAGTCTTTTCTGATTTACGACGCGTCGTGTGACTGATGCCAGACGAGAACGGACCAGATGCTTGCAATTTATTAGACGTGCTCTCCGAGACATGGTAATTTATATATATATAAAAAAAAAAAGAAAAACACTTAGAGCTCAATTCCGTTGATGTTGATTAAATGTCGCTTAATTGGTCTCACTTCTTCGACAGAGTCGCGTTGCACGTAGCGGCGAGTGCGCTGAAAAGATGAATTTTATGAATGAAAAGAGTAAAGAAAATCAATAACACACAAGAGTGCGGCATACACGCGGGAAACACGAGAAGATTGTAATCGACTATCAGTTTAATGACTTCTCGCGCGAGAAGTGAAAAAAAAAAAAAACAAAAAAGACCCGTTTACGTGCACGCGTTGATTACTTTTCACTCTCTATCACCTCTCAAATATTAACTCTAGCGTGTATCCATTAACTTGTTTGTTTCATTAATCTATTTTCTTTCTCTCTCTCTCTCACGTGCGATCATAAATTGCAATTACATTACAACGAGGGACATATTATAATTATCGAAGTGAGAGAAAGCGCAAGACACACACGCGCGTCACCGCGGTCTCTTGACTTCGTGTTGCAGAAAAAAAAAGTTCGTTATTTTTATACCGTCGATCGGGTTTTTCTCTATACCGCGCGGGGAGGGAAAGCTCGTTAACCCTCTCGACACACTTTGATACGCGAGTGGGAGTGCGACATATGCGTGCACTCGCAATTGCAAAAATGTAATTAACCGAATCAAGAGAGAGAGAGAGAGAGAGAGAGAGAGAGTTGAGATAATTACTTACTCACTTACTTATGTGAAAAATTGCAACACTCAGTGCGATATTTATCGGACGGAGGATGAAACAAGTTTCTTACAAAAAAAATTCAAAAAGAGGATGCTGCGGCGTTTCCCTCCCATCGTGGAATACACGAAGAAACGAAGACAATGCGAAGTTGGCGAGAAACTCAAATTAAAAGCTTAGGTCTCCGCGCGCACGAGACCGTTTTTCTTTCACGCTAGATTGCACCCCCCCTCCTCCCAAAAAAATCGACCAATCAAATTTTGGAAATCAAAGAATCGCCGCGGATTACACTCACACGCGATCTGACGTGAATAATTAAACCGAACGATTAGTTTTTTTTTTGTTTTTGACAAAAATGCCAAGAGCGACTCGCAGGTTTTCATATGAAGTTACTTTTGTTTTTCGTTGATATTTTTTTTTTTTAATTTTCCGAATAAAAGAACAAACGCAAGGTGTCCATTCAGCACACATTCGATTCGTTGGGTTTTGATAGCGGACAAATGTGCGGGCATGCGCATTCGGTGCATTCTCGACATGCGCGCTGCCGTAACGCTGGCAAACACACCGACGAAGCTTATACGCATTCGATACTCGCTGCTCGCTGTGATACGGTTTAACAAACGATTGATCGTAACTTCCACACACGCCATTATGGACTCGCTTGCGAATTACGCTAGCGACGGCGACAACAGTAATAATTCGGACGACGAGAAGGTGAGGGAATCGCGTCGGAACGCGCGAGAATAACGTTCCGGTCGTGTTCGTCGCTGATGGGATTCGTTTCGTTCGTTATCAGACTCGGGGACGCCTGAAAATAGCAATCCTACACCGCTCGCCATGGCTCTCTCTTTCTCTCTCTCTGCTTTATTATCCAATGAATGTTATTCCTCGGATATGCGCGGAACGTATCTCGCTATATTCCGTACGAATATTTTTGTTTCACGAAGCTGTGTTCGGCACACAATTCGCAAAATGCTTTTTGTAGCTGTTTATATTTCTTCAAACATGAAGTTTTTAAATTTTATGTTAATGATGTGCTTTAATTCGTTTTAACGCAAATTGTGGACATCAATATTTATGACTGTTTGTTTTAGACGCCAGCCAGAGAGGAAGTAAACAGAAGAGCCAGTGATGCTAATTACGATCCGGTACAAATGGACATGAGTGAGGTAGAGTAAAAGAGCATACATGCATACTTCTTAAATTCTTAGTTGTTAAGTACGAAACATTCGGACAATGCCTAAGAAGATCACCACAGTGACTTTACGGGTGCTATACATGCGAGGTCTTAGGCCTGATATGTAAAAAAAAAAAAAGGATATTTGGTTTTGCAAGGTCATGTCCTCAAAATGTCCTCAATGTGATATACAGGAGGAATGGAAACAGTGTTTGTATGTTTTTTACATTTTGCAATCAGATTATGACTTGGCACAAACTGTGTGGAGTTTAATTGTGTAAAGTTGGGATGTAGAAAAAAAAAAGAAAAAAAAAATTTTTTGAATATTTCATAATCTGAATACAAATAAAGACAGGACCTTGAAACCTTACTACGAACGCAGGATAATCAGGCTATCATTGACAATAATTAAAATTTAAATAAGTAAATGGGAATGGTGCCATTTCGTGAGACAATATTAACACGTAGCTCTGTTGGTAATACATGATACAATATCTACGCATCTCGGCAAGGTCTATGCTGTGTGAGGGTCTTTCAAGACTACCCCCAAGTCCTATTCAGAAGACAGAGGTGAGTAGAGGAAGCTCGAAGAAGGTAACATTAACAAAACATCAACCATCACAAAAAAAAAAAAAAAAAAAGAACCCATGTGTATAAATTTATATATATCGGGTGATAACTAACTGCGAAGACATATATTGATGTGAAGGGCCCTCATATTCCTCTCTTTCTCTTTTTTATGACACGATTGTTTCGTACATTAGTTGCATTTTATCTAGTACTTAACATATATGTCAACATATATCTACTGTAACAACATGCAGAAAGTTGCATGTTGCAAAACTTTTGTATCAAGTACAACCAAAGACGCAAAAAAAAAAAAAAAAAAAAAAAAACAAAACAAAACAAAAAAAAACTGAATTTCCGCTTTTTATAAACAGAAATTCTTGAGTTACTATCTACTGTGTGAATATAATTTTCTTTAAAATACATATGTAAGTTTCTCTCTACATACATTTGTGTATCTCTACTACTAAAATGTCTACAACTTTGCGTGTATTGAAGTTATGTATTTCTGAAATAGCTTCTGTGGTAGGAATTAAGATTTTATTCTGTTTTATTTATAGCGCGTTCTGTAAGAGAGATGTACTAAAGTTGATAATTTTTCTTCTCTCTAGGAAAGCAACAACAATAACTCGTCCAGAGAATCTAGTAGCGAACGTGGAAACAGTCCGACGTCACATTCAACCTTCAGCTCGAGAACAGACTCTCGAGCTGTATCTTCTTCCTCCTCAGACCAGAGGTAGGCTGATTTATCGACATTTATATGTACAAACAAAAGAGGAGAGATAGTAGAAGTAACATAAAGCTAAGCTATTTGTATATATATTTTATATAAAATACATACTTTTATTAAAACAATTATGTATGTATGTTTTTTATACATCTTTATAAAAAGCACAGAATAATAATACAAATCTGTGTGGTATACCCCTGCAGAACGTAATCATTTTACAGGCGAATCGAACACGAGAATCACACTAGTTCGAAAGACGATCACAGGCGGGGAGACCGTAGCGATCGAAGTCGTCATTCGTCCGATAAGAGTCGTCGTTATGACGATCGCAAACAGCGGGACAGCAGCAGTAGTCACAGAGACCGAAGTAAAGAGCGGAGAAGTCGGGACAATGATAGGAGAAGTCGAGACGATGATAAGAGGTCGTCACGAGATGATGACAGGCGTAGGTCGTCTGTTGGATCATCCAAGGACGAGAAGAACGACGACAAAGACAAGAACGACCGGGATTATCATTACAGGGATGACAGGAGGGATCGTAATCGCGACAGGAACGACAGGGACAGGCGTAGGGATCGCGGCGATCGGGAACGAGATCGGGGACGACACTCCAGGGACGACAGGTCGAGCAACCGGCACGAGCGTTCGAGTTACCACAAGGACAAAGATCGCGCGAGATCGAGGTCGCGATCGAGGGATCGCGCTCCACCGTCGTCATTCAGAACGATGAGTTATCGAGAAGAGAAGGGTCGAAACAAGCTAGCCCAATTAGAGAAATTGGGTATAGAGCTGAAACCACCAGAAGGCACTGATCCCGTAACACCGGGTGGCGTTCAGAGCGAACAGAGCTATTATAATCCTCTTGCAACAGCGACACAAGGAAAATACGCGGAACAAATTCAGAAGAGGAAGTTGCTGTGGGCGAATAAGGTGACAATCATCTAAAGCTAATATCACTCTGTGTGTTTGTGACGCACAATTTTGTATCTTACGATCTTATTGCCATTGCTTTTTGCAGTCTAAACAAGATGACGGTAACAGCGCATCAAATATAGCTTCTACCGCCAGTACGTGGATAGGAACGACTTTTACGCACGATCAAGACGGAAAGGTAACGGCAAAGTTCAAACGACTAATGGGTATTAAGGGCGACTTACCAGCCACACCGACCGTGGGTGCTAAACCGGATATCTTGAAGAAGCAGGAAGAGATGTTCAACAACATGGAGCAACAGTATGAAGTAGCACGCGCTACCACGCACACACAACGTGGAGTGGGATTGGGTTATGCCACTGGTGGCTATCAATTTCCACGATAAAGTGCACTGAAACCTCACTTTTATTGTTTAATACATTTAAATATTACAAGATAGTCACGTACAGATGATATGAGCTAATAGTTCAGGTACAGCAACTTGACTTTTGACCTTTGTGTTCACACAAGTTTTCCAAAGTTTCTCTATTCCTGAGTTTCATGTCAAAATTAAAATTGATAGGAACATCAGCAAGTCGCAGATGTTCAGCTTCAGAAGTTAGTTTGTCATCTGTAAATGTAATAAAAGTTACATGTTTGTGCGTTGTAAGCACTGTGAAAATAAATTTATTAAGATTATCTAAAAACATACATATCCCCTTGAAAAAACGCGCTATTTATTTAAAAAAAAAACAGCTTCCTTGATCCAATCGTACTTTTTAAATAGCTCGTGAAATTTTATTACAATTTCTAGATGTTGCTATATTGTATAATTGGCAGATTATTCCATTAGAATTAAACGTCAACTAATCATGGTTGACATTTAATCGAACATAGTAAGAAATTAGGATCCTAAAATTTTTCTTTTTTGGAAATATGTAAGGGATAAGTTATCTGGTTCCTTTTTTTTTTTTAATCATCTGAACGCATGTGCATATATAGCATAAGAGATTATTTAGACCAATGAGCAATAAAGTCGCTACAGTGATTTACAAAACTATGCTAGTTTCTTATTGGTCCAGACGGTCTTTGCAGCTATGGGATTTTGTGTGTAATGGCCTTAAAGTTCGGTTGCATTGGGCGGGTCGTACGCAGCTGTTTACGTTTTCACAATATGGCGTTTGATTTGAATTTGTTCGTTACTTTATAAGTTGCTCGTTGCTTGTCGAAGCAGTTGCTCGTCGTTGCTTTGCCACGCTGAAGAATTCGCATTAAGTGTAATTGGTTTTGTGCTAGCTTCTTTTCTCATTCAAGTACAATGGAGAATTTCATAAAAATAGAAAAAATCGGAGAAGGTAAGCGCATGTAAAAAAAAACCCAGTAACGCTAAATTATTCGAAAAAAAAAAAATAATAATAATAAATATGTATGTATCGATTTTTTCTCGTGGTACAAAAGTTGATTTTCATACTACACTGTGATGAACAAGTTCACAACTTTTTCCATTTTCTTTACAACTTAATGTAAATTCATGCGTGTTACGTACACGTGTAAAGGATACAGTGTGTTTACGTGTAACACATAGTAACCATTTATTTACCATTTTATTTACACTCAGGTACGTATGGCGTAGTGTATAAAGGAAAGCATAAAAAAACAGGAGAAATTGTTGCCATGAAAAAGATTCGCTTGGAAAGCGATGATGAAGGAATACCATCCACTGCAATTAGGGAAATTTCATTGCTCAAAGAATTAAATCACCCTAATATAGTGAGCTTAATTGATGTGTTGATGGAAGAAAACAGATTGTATCTCATTTTTGAGTATCTTACTATGGATTTGAAAAAATATATGGATACTTTAGGCAGTAAGCTATTGGAACCAAGTGTAGTCAAATCATATTTGTATCAGGTCTGTTTATATGTATTTTTTAATGTGTGTTGTGTTATTTATCATCTAAGTAAATGCTTACGAAATTTGTTATCAATGCTGCGTCATTATTTATGCGTCAATATTTCAGATTACACGAGCTATTCTTTTCTGTCACAAGCGTAGAATATTACATCGCGATCTGAAACCACAGAATTTGCTCATTGATAAGACGGGAGTCATTAAAGTAGCAGATTTTGGACTAGGAAGGGCATTTGGAATTCCAGTTAGAATATACACACACGAAGTCGTAACTCTGTGGTACAGAGCACCTGAAATTCTTCTCGGTGCCACTAGATATTCCTGTGCAATTGATATGTGGAGTCTTGGATGTATTTTTGCAGAAATGGCAACTAAGAAACCATTGTTCCAAGGAGACAGTGAGATCGATCAGCTCTTCAGGATATTCAGGTAAAACAGATGTTATTGTTTTATATAATATTGTTTTATTCATTTTAATAAAAAAAAAAACAAGATCTTAGAAATTCAAATTGAACTAAACCTTATCAGCTATAATCCATGGTGACAGATAATAAATAAAAAAAATAATTCTCTAATAATGTTGGAACGTTTTGATCATTTGTTCTTGATCACATCTTCAGCCAAAAATTTTTAATAAATATAAAATTTCAAACAGCTTATAACAGCTTGTCAAAGAAAGCCAGACAACAACACACAATGAGTATCAAAACAAAATGCATTAAAGTCTCAGCAGTGTAAGACTTTAATGTGACATTCTGTAGATAAATATTTTGATAACTTTCACAGAATATTAAAAACACCTACGGAAGAAATATGGCCAGGAGTGACCCAATTAGCGGATTACAAGGCAACATTTCCAAACTGGATGACAAATAGTCTGAATACGCAAGTGAAAACATTGGATGCAGATGGATTGGATTTGTTGCAGGCTATGCTCACGTACGATCCTGTATATAGAATATCTGCACGAGCAGCTCTGAAACATCCCTACTTCACCGACATAGATATGAGTAAAATACCTGTACTACTTGATGATTAAAAACAGGATTATTTACTAAAATCGAAGAAGTAAAATCGTTATCTTATATTTTAATCGTGTGACTACATGAAGAGTATGTCTCGGTGTGTACATTGTAGTTAATTTATTTGCGTACGTGATTTTGAAGTATGAATAATTTTTTTACCGATTGAAATTCGCATTTTGTAATCGTATTTTGTATCCATTTTGTGTGGAAGTGAGCGTACGCTTTTTATCGCATCTACATAAAGTTATACGTAAGTTTTTATGAAGTATTCACGAGTTTCATGATTTTTTTTTTAATTAACATTCCATTTCATACATCACACAGACACACACACACACACACACACACACACGTTACTTGTTAATTCATGTTCAATATTATAATATCAACACTAACACACATTTATTCAAATTTCACAGTTTTATTAAGTGATATAACACGATCTTCTCTGATCCACGTATTATATAATAATTGCATGTTACTTTGAATCGGCGAATTTATGAAGTTACTTTTACTGGATTATACGTATGTAAATTTGTAAATTTCTTGTCATATCTTCGTACCTTGCTACTCGCTCGTACGATAAAACTTTGCTGGCATAAATTTATTAGAGTAAAAACCAAATTAATACGAGATGAGATTGTTAATCCGTAGCTGCAAAAGAGTTGTAGCATAAGAGGTTTTTTCTACACACACTATGTATTAGTTACGAGTAAGAATATTTTTATGTGCATTTTGTACTCTAAAAATAAATGATATTTTGCTATAATATAAATTTTTTGTATTATATAAATCAGTTGCGCTAAATCACTCACATCATTGTGTAGAAATCAATTCGTTTATCCAGTCACCGTGTAACGTGAAACTTGCCCCTTCGATCACATTAGTTTCCGAGAAACGTGGAACTTGCTTTGTGCAGAGAAGCAGTAATTCTCGGTAGAGTTTGTAGTTCCACACATTCGTATTTTATGGATGCGTCATCGTCGTGCTCATTGGCGTAACGAATTAATGATAATTACAGTAATTTTGCACTCTTTTAAAGAGATGACATGCATGTATGCGAGTAAACGATAATATGTTTTATCAAAAAGAAAAAAAAAATAAAGATAAATTACAGATTGCAGAATTAATTCGCGATTTTCAGAAAGCATATAGTATATCTCGATTCTTGTCCTCTGTGTCCGGCGGTGAATGTATGCGTGACTTGTAATTGGTTTCGAGAGTGGGGCATTCGCCACATAAAGTCGATCTCTCCACTGAGATCTGTGTTTACAGTGCAAACGGCAGAGACCGGCAGCAGTTCCACAGAGTGAGTGTCGTATTTTCGAGAAACTTTCCATCAGCTTCAATTTTTTTGTTTTAAACACGCGTAATTCATCTCAATCGTTTCACGTAAGTATTGTTACAACAATTGGATATACGCATCTCTCTCCGTGTTCTTATTTCTGTAAAAAATTTACCATCCCATATGTACGTACATTTGTGGACAAAACGAACTCGCTTAACATCTTCCAAATGATAAATCTCGTCAAAAGAGTGATGTCAATTAAAAAAAATATATATATATACTAATTTCTCTCTTCCATCAGATTTTGAATTTGTATATTTGTAAAAGTCTTTTCAACAAACAGAGAAAGAGCAGCTAAAGCTATTTAATTGACTTAAGTTTACATTTCGAAATAATAATATTTAATACGCGACGCGTAAAAAGGTCGCGCGGGTCGATCTTAATCGCGTATTCGTCGGTCGTCATCGAACTATCGTTGTGTTGCGTGAATTAGAGAGGAAAACGTAGAGATATACGTATCATTATTTAAATACATAATCGTAAAAAAAACATTTCAAGTCTTTGCTCCGTGATACGTGTCCAAGGCGAATGAATCATGCTAGAACCATTTGTTCTTGAAATCTGAGATAATGGCCGTTATGGAAGTTTAAAGGATCGTGTTTCGAGCGCACCACATGCTCTTACACGAATCATTGCACATAAATTACATTGAAATTTCATTGAAAAGTGCTGCGTGATAATGTCACTTCTCACACAGAACAAACACTCCGTTAGACGTCTTTAGATATCGCATATCTAATGGATGTCTAAACGTCTAATGGAGTTTTTGTTGTACGGGTTCTTCCATTCGTCGAAATCTACGTAACTGTGTTCAAATCTTGTTTGCTCGAGTTATTGTTTATTTTTTTCATTTGTGCACATAATATGTACACAAATATATTTGTGCCATTAAGTAAATAATCTCATTAGTTATTCTGTTGTTATCCTCTTAGCACATATCACAAAAATTCAAAACTACACGAGGAGCGATCTTCTTCTGATAGTGGTTTTTAATAAAACTTATTGTTACTTTTCGGGTTTTTTTTTTTTTCAGAAGATGAAGTCCTTGACCTGGTGTCTGATAGTGGCGGGATGCCTTGCCCTTGCTCAGGCTCACACGTATCATATGGGTGCTTGTCCAATTGTGGAACCTATGCAGGGCTTCCAGATGAACAGAGTGAGTCAAATAATTCAAGCTTATATGCAAAAGCCTTATTTGTATCGATAGCAAATAATGTCTCTGTGATAATTTTTTTTCAAATTTTATCTCACAATCTACTTGTGTTCTTCATGAAAAAAAAAAAAAAAATGTAATAAGAAACAAAATTTTAACATTTTAATCTAAAAATAATCGCTTGTTTGAAACTTTTTTTAGTTTCTAGGCTTGTGGTACGTGGTTCAGAAAACGTCGACAGGTAGCAAGTGCATAACTTACAACTACACGCGGGGAGAAGAACCGGGTGAATACGTGATAACGCAAGACTCCGATCATTTGATCCTAGGTAAGACAAAAATCATCGCACACACGTCATACAATTGGCAAAGAAAGGAGACATCAACTTGCGTAAAGAACGTATCGAGGGGGGAGGGGGTGAGGAGACCTATCGAGAGTCATAAAAGCTCCTGTCAATGGGATAAATGTCTGACAAGTGGGATGAATTATCCGTAATAACGCGATGAATGTGTGCAGGTCTTACGCCGTTGAAGCACGAGTATCACTATACCGGTGAGCTGTCCGTGCCCGAACCCAGCACTCCCGGACGTATGACAGTCCGCTTCCCTCTAAGTAAGTGCCTCCAATTAAATCAGCATTGTAGTATTTAAATATTTTTTTAGAGAGAAAAAGATATAAACTTATCTCGTGTGAAAAATTAAAGCTTCGATAAAAATTCTGTACGTTATCTAACGATCTAGAATGATTTTCATAAATGACTTCTAATTAATAGTTGAGGTTTGCTTTCAAGATGTAGTCTGCAGTTTCTTCCTCAATTTGTCCGAAATACGAGACATTATCGTCAAAACATTGTGTGTCTAATCTTGGCTAATCGCGTGGCAACATTTGTGTTGTTTTGTTAATAGTTTTGGAATTTATTCGAATTGTCAGTTAAGCTTCCGCGTTGCGTAATCAAGATTTGTTATCTGCGAATTTTAGGTGTAGCCGGAAGCGCGTCCCATGTGGTGTTCATGACGGATTACGACACTTACGCTGGTATCTTCACGTGCCAGAAATTGGCGTTTGCTCATCGACAAAGCGCTACAATCCTCTCGAGAACGAGGACGCTGGATCAGTCGCAGGTGGACAAGATACGTCAACGATTGAGCCAATACGGCGTGGATCCGTATGATCTGAGCATCGTCTCGCAGTCCGGCTGCCCGACCGGCAACAATACCGTGGACATCAACATCGATCCCAACACCTTTACCGCCGAGAACTTCGGTAACGCGGTGCGCAAAGCGGGAGAGAAGATCGGCGACGGCGTCCAGTGGGTCGCTAATGCCGGAAGCCAGGTGTATCACAAAATAGCCGGTTCGGAAGAGAATCGCTCATCATCGACGACGGAACAAAGCGGTCGCGTCACCACTAACGACCGGAACAGCGCTGGAAAAATCGAAACTAACGACGTGGAGTGGATTCCCTAAAACATCATCTCGTTATCTCTTTTCGCATCACGCAATGCATGTTACTTGCGACCTCGATGCGATTCTAACGTATTTTTTTTTTTTTTATCTCTCTTCCCTATTGTTTTATACGTGACAAATATAAGTAATAATAAAACTGCGATTAACGATAAGTCGATTGAGTGATTGAATAAAAATTCGTGACTATGTTTTTATTACGTATATATTGTACACTAGGAAGTTTCTGATATTCAATAAAAATGGTAAAATAAAGAAAAATATATAATGTGTGCATTTATTGGCAAAAAAATGATTAATTATTAATTATTTGCTTTTACAATGTCATGTTTTAAGTTTATTAAGTGAAAGTTTATTAATTATCTTTAACGTATGTGCCTTCAGTTCTATTTCAGTCTTTTTAACACACAGAAAGTTGTGACGATATATACGAGATTCCGAGAACAGGAAGAAAGTTAAATTTGCAAGGGTGACCAAAACATGTCAAAAGGTCATTTTTTTTCATTCACGCACGGACAAATTTCTCGCCGACAAGTTTCAGGATGGGAAAACTCAATTGCTCCCTTGCGGGATGCTCTACATATATAAACAGTCGCATGATTTAGATTCTCCCCTAATGCTTACTACGTGACTCGCCCGGTATACGCGCGATTGCGAATATTAGTAACCACACGTCTCGTGCGACCCATCAGTCTCGTAGCGACTGTTGAGGAGAGCGACCAGCCAATTTCGCGATTTCAAGCAGCGCACGCGTCGTCTTCGAGATTTTTTTCTTTAAAGTCACATCATCATCCCGCGACAAGGTCCACGACGTCGAAAGCGAATTTTAACGTACGTGCACAAGAGAGAGATTGCATGTATTAATGCATGAACATATATATATATATATATATATATTAATAATTTTTTACTTTCTAGTGTTGTATACATATATATATTTTTTTCTTAAAAGCAATTAATCTCTAACGATATTTTATACACTACATTTGTTACATACTTTCTCTCTAGAAGCTTCAAAATCTGAGATGCTTGTTAAAATTAAGATTTGATTTGTGTAAACACACTACCCTCATACACACTTACGTGTTCTTCTTACCACCGGCATTAACCATTCCGGTTCAATATAACGCTATTTTGACATATACATATATATATATATATATATATATGTATCTAGATAATACATTTTGTACGACAAGGTTTATTTATAACAATGCAAATTTTCATTCGTGACAATCTCGCAGCCACACTACCTGTATTTTTCCCCTCTTCGCGAAAAGAGCCAAGATTAATTGCTAACACGATATAGTACTCTTAGACAGAATCTAATTGCTTCTTCAACGTTAACGTGTATCGCGCGCAATTAATTATCCATAATTAATTGCGGTTTCCTATATACGCCCTCGCTGCCTGTTAACGCACTGCGGCGTGCAACGAGAGCTTGGCGGTGTTGCGGGGTGAGTTTTACGAGGTGCGCAGTTCGAACTTGCGCCAACGATTTTGCGCATCCGCTGTGTTTCCGTTCCTTCTTCTTTCAGTCGTAGTGTTGAGTTTTTCCGGATATCGGCGTACACACTCATCCCGCACGTTAGCGCGCAACGTAAGTGTTTGGGACAATTCGAACTCTGTAAAAATTAACTGAGGTCAGCACTTATTGTGTGTTAATAAGCGATTAAGTAATTATTAATAGAATGATAAAGTTATTATTTTTTATAGATATTTGTGCACATAGTAATGCCAAGCACTGAGCTCCGACTTACTCAGCACCGACTCCCGCAGCCAATACATTTTGCATTCACCTGCATCGAGACAACCTGTCTCTCTCTTTTTCTCTGTCTCTCTCAAGTCAACTTTGTATTAGTGATTTATAAAAATTAAACAATTCTTTGTGAAGCAAGTTTACGAAAACAAATTATATATTGTTGCAACAAAACTTCTATTCTTCGATTATTTTTAAACACAATTTAAGTTATTTTAATTTTTTTTAAATTTTTTACAATTTACGATGATTTCTCGCAATATTATTGCAGAAACAAAGTCTACTTTCAAGTTGCCAATGTGACTTAAACGCTAAAAGAATCGAAAAAAATATTGTATCAAATCTATTTTCGCATTAGCATAGTTTCGTTATATAGATTAAAATTTATTAATTATTGATTAATTATTTATTAAACTATGATTAAACCGTCAAATTTCTACTGTGGTCTTCGCGAAAATTTAAAACGATTTTATCCTGAAATTATAGTTTATTGGCATGTTTTTGCAGCTTTTTATCTTACCTTATATACATAAAAAAATAGATACTAAAAAAAAGTATGTATAAACTTGGTTAATACAGACGAAATTCTTTCTAAAGTAGTTTTCAACACCTCGAATAAACATATTTTTTCTAAGGCACGCTTTGCTCTTTTGACATGGCCGTTCTAGACAACGTTTTTCTCGTAAAAAGCAAAATGCATAAAATGATAAAAATTATTGCACAAAGATAGATAGTAGAATAAAAAATAAAAATGAGCATTTTGTTTTGTAAATGCCAAAAGAAAAAGAAATGTAAAGAAATAAAATATAAAAAATATCATTAAAAAATTATCATAATATATATAAAAATATTGTTATCTTTATTCAATAAATATTTTATCGTATTTATATTTTATCATGAGCTTTATTAAATATATTCGCTAGTTTTGTTTTGTTTTTTTTTTTTTTATTTTCTGTCGTGTGTACGTGACGTCTGCTTTCGTCAGTATTGTTCTCTCCATCGGTCAGACTGATTTGATAATAATCGCGATTAGCGATAAACGATGACCGTCGGGTCACGTATAGGTGCGTTACAGACTGCGTTGTTCAATTACAACGGAGCTGTTCTGCTGACATACATCAGCGGCAGGTTCAAGAGACAAGTTCGACAACGTCGATTATACTCTTATGCCAAGTTACATTCTGGCAAAAACCATATACGTCAATACATTCTTTATATAGGTCGGTAACGATAATCAATTTTTCAATACTAAAGAATCCGCTGTCCGAAAATAAAAGCGACGATTTTAAATATTCGCGCTCTGCAGTTCTTTTAAATAAAAGACTAGGATTTGTAATTGTGGATGATGAAAAAATCCATCAATATATTCGATTAAAAAAGTTTATGTCGTAACACGCCGTAACTTTCATCTTCCTATACGTTCTATTGCGAAATATGTGTGTGTTCATATAATTGAAGATTTTATCACTCACCCACTTCAAAAAAAAAAAAAAGAAAAAAAAACAAACAAAAGAGACAAGACAGACACAAGAGCACAAAGCGGACGAAGAGATGAGTTCGTTAATAATTCATGATACGGCTACCAATTTGACTATATATAGCATGAGAGTACTGTATATGGTCAGACTAGATTATATGAATTAATTTGTTCAGACTGATACCGTCGGACATCCTTCGACACAGGTTCAAGAGACAAGTTCGTCAATGAACCCCGCTGACCCACATTAACAATTACGCATTATGCTACTCTCTCTATTTCGGGACCTCTCATTTTCGCGATCGGCCTGAATTGAAACGACCCAAACCGAACCGAGGTCACAATCTATAGTTCGATTCCGCTAGAATTACATATATCCGCTGAAAGAACTTCAACTATCTGTTGACCTCAGTTTCTGACGCTTTGACAAATGATGTACAAAACATCCGTTTCTTTGTCTCGACTGTAGAAATTACCATTGCGCTTTGTATTTCTCATTTACAAATAGCACTACTCGCAAGCTAAATTTGTACGATTTGCAACGTACTAATTCAAATCAACAAATAAAAATTTTGAGAATCAACAATTAAAAACAATTTTTAATAATTAAAAAATATTAATTTAAATATACGAGCACGTTAATTTCATTTTGTTTACTTTTTTTGTCTTATCATAACAAAAAGGAGGTTAAATCAATAATGGCCTTGAGTCGTAAAGCAATGTGTAAAATTGCGGTCAAGTACCACCAGTTGATGTTTGGGTGCATCTTTTGATTTTTCTTTTTCTTAAGAGAGAATACTAACTCTTGAGAACCATACAAAGAACTATTCATTGATCAAGACGAAGGCTGCTGATGGATGTGACCTTCGTAAAGTTTCCTTATATTTGTCCCATTCGGTATATATACTGCCGAAAGTTTGCCAGTTGTTTTTTGCTGCTCGTCCGAGCAATCGTTTTCTTACCGCTTGCAGATGATCGCTGTGTTGTTCGGCGTACTGTCGATCTTCTGGATCCAGAGGATCGACGCGAGCGTGCTAGTCGCCGACACCACCATGTCCAGGATGGTGGAGCTGAACGCCGACGCGCCTTTTTGCGCCCTTTACAACGATCGCGGAGTTATCCAGAGAATGGTTCTCGGCGCCGATCCCAGAAAGGTTCGACAAATCTCCAGCAATCTCGTTGCTGACCTCGAAGAGACCTGCAAGGCTTCACGAAATAAGGGGAAGGTGAGTCACATCGTTTGAAAATGTGAAACGAACGTTCTAAATCAAGAACAAAAACATTTAATACAGTATTTCAAATGTTCTAAATTGTTTATCCAAATTTCTTTTTGAGTAAAAAATTACACATCGTATATTAAATTTAAATTATATGATATGAGATTTTTTTCTACGGAACTATCGTTCGGATTACTGTTGTCGTGATTACTGTCTTAAAATATTTGTTTACTTTTAGGTAAATAGTTATACGAACTAATAGTTTATTGCAAAATCAATTTTTTTTTTTTTTAGAATCAAGCGCCTGGCAGTGGTCTGATGTATCCCGGTACAAAGTGGTGCGGACCGGGCAATGTGGCCGATTCCTACGACGATCTGGGACAACATTCAGCTGAGGACGCTTGCTGCAGGGAACACGATCATTGTCCGTTCACGATAGCCCCGCAGCAGTGCATACACGGCATATGCAATAATTCACCGTTTACTCGCTCGCATTGCGATTGCGACGCCAAGTTTCGCAGGTGTTTGCAGAATCTCAATACCGAGGTAGCCAACACTCTCGGCGCGCTATTCTTCAACGTCATCCAAGTTACCTGCTTCAAAGAAAGACGACCGTGCTCTCAATGGCAAAGGTATACGCATTTTGCATAAAACTAAAAATTTTTTAAATTATTTTGAAGTTTATAAAAAATTTATATATTTTTACGTTATAAAATAAGTTAGAAAATAAAATACATCTTTACCGTGCGAGAATAAAAAAAAAAAAAAAAAGATAAAATTCTAAATTCCATTGTTACTTCAATTAAAGGACGTGATAATTGAGATATCTTGTAGTTAAACGTTTTTATAGTTGCGGTTTGCAAATGGACAAGTCCCCGAGGTATTTGCGAAACGAATTACCGGAAGAAAGTCGTGAAGGCCGAAGATCGTTGTTGACCACTTTATTCTACATGTTCAGGAATTTTATGAGGAGACAAAGAGTCTTCTCTCAGAATGAAGAAGCGAGACAAAAATGTTATTATAATTGTTGATTTTGTTAGCATTGTGTTAGTTGAGAGCGGGTTTTCTCTTCCGCGCATCTCTCTCTTCTCTTATTATGTAACTAATCTTCATTTTCATTTAACCATTGGTGACGGCATTTCCACTCAACGGAGACTTCGGGGGATTTGGAGCAAACTGCTTTGGGACAAATTAAATTAATATATTTGAAATTCAAAATTAGTTTTGAAAATGACAAAATGTTTGCTTTATAGAAACGGCTACGCGGAGGCTGTGTCCGATCGACTGTGTTCGCAGTACAAATTCCGACCGAGCGACAAGTACGTGCCCATGATGCCTCTGAATATGAACATATGAATTCGGAAGCGGCAGAAGGACAACCCAGAAAACAACGACGGAAGGACCTAAACTATGTGCGGATCAAATCCAGCACGTGACCAATCGATGTGACGACGTTGTTTATTGCGTATCAAATTGCCGTCCTTACTGTCGCGCATTTATAATATGCACGTTAAGAAAACAAAAATACGTACCATTGTCTCAGAGAAATTAAGTTAATTATAAATTTTCATAGCGCGGAGATGATTTTACTCCTCTAAAGTATATATTCCACTCTTTGTATATAATATTGCAATCTTGATAATTATATAGTATAATTATAGATTTATCTGTAAAATTTTTGACTAATTGTGTAGAAAAACAAACTTCGTAGTTTCTTGAATATATTAATTTTTATACGTCGCGAAACAAAACTCTTTCGAAGTTTTGAGAGAGATTTCGTTTCTATAGTAAAACAGGCTTGACATATAGCTCTTCTCTTAACTTATAGAAAAAGAAGAGAGAAAAAGTGTAGAATATCTGTCACAAGAGTGCCATAATGTGTTATATATGTATATTTAACAAATATAATAAAAAACATATATACCTAAAATTAAAACCTGGCGTCTTACTTTTATTCTCTCTCTCTCTCTCTCTCTCTCCGTTCAAAGTTTCCACAGTTATCAAGTTCTGTGATCTCTTCAATAACCTTTGATTACCAAATTCAACAGACTCTTATTCTCACGAGATTGTTGCTGTACACTTCTACCAGAGAAGAGCCTGAGAGCGGCCAGGCCCATGAGAGAATGTGTAATCACTTTTCCGCCCCGTAAACTAGCGCATGTCCACGTGGGTGGTGCACATTGAAACTACGCAGCGATGTCCACGAGCGATTTGTCGGTGCGCTATGTCCACAGCGTGCGGTTCTATTCTGTGTATTTTGAGAGAGTAAATAATAAAAGCGATTTTGAGACAGTCTTTTCGTCGTATATGTAGAGAAAATTAAAAACGTAACTAAAGTCACGTGACAGGAAAGAGTAGAAAAACAACACGTAAAAATAATGTGACTGTAATTTATATTATATATAACATTAAATAATACATATTTTATACATATAATTTATTATATATTTATAATATTATACTTTATATTGTATTATATACATACTACAGAGTAATGTCACTGACCTCGGCCGTGCGGCCTTGACGGAGTCACTGACCTCGGCCGCGCGGCCTTGGCGGGGCACTGACCTCGGCCGCGCGACCGTGGTGGGGGCGGGGTCACTGACCGCGTGCGCGCGGCC